AACTACCACACCACAGTGCTGACCTTATCAGGTCCCTTTTTAAGACACTGGAAATAGTTGTCCTTGTCATCATTGGACAGCTAAACATCATGTGTAGATGTTGAGAGCAGTTAAGGGGCAAGGAACAGAAAGCTGGCCTGTGGAATGTAAAGGTAAGACAAACACAGGTCACTGTGAGCCTTTTGGTGAAGAATTAACAAACAAAAAACAAACTCGAAAGTTTTTTGCTTTTCTTGGGGGATTTTTTTAGATTGGGAGCTTTAAAATTGAAGAATAATAAAATAGTCATTGGCTAGTTACTAAATATATACTAAAGGTATACATTAAAAAGTTCATGCAGAAGATTAACTTAAAATAATTCAGAACCAGAATAATTCATTTGAAACTGATTGGCACATACTTCATGTGCTGTCTTAGAAATTACATAGGCTTTTGGTAATTTAGCCTATCCTTATCTCCAGATGTTAAGATTGAAGTGAGCAGTGGAGAGTGAAGAATGTCACCAGAATGGGGACACAAAGGCCAGGAATGGGCAGGAGGAAGGGAGTCAGGTCAAGAGGTAGGGATGGCAGCAGAAAAGGAGAAAGGCTGTGAATGCAAATCATTGAAAACTGTTGTTTACTTTAGCAGTGGAATATGCTTAAGATTGAAACAGCATTTAATGAAATGAGTTCAGGGCAGAGTGAGAATATCACTTTTTTAAAAAATTGAGGTCAGCCATGGAAAAAGGTGAGCAAGAAGGAAAAGTTTTAAAGATAAGCTTTTGAATTACTTAAATTTAAGATCCAAACTAACAACGCAATATAGTTTTTTTTAACATAATAAGGCCTTGAATTACATGTTGATTTATTCAATTTCATCACAGCCTTATTATAAGCGCTTAGTATTTCTCCCACTTTAGAGATGTAGAAATTGTGGTTCGCCCTCCCCCAAACAGAATAAATTGGCTCTTGTGAAATAACAGAGCAGGATTCCACCGAGACGGTCTGATTCTGTTCTACACCTGCCTCATCATCTCCACCTTTCCTTCCCTATGGTTTGTATGGTGTATCTGTGGACTCTTGTTTTGAAGCTAAGGTGAAGTAGTTTGGTTTCTATTACAGGGATAAGCTTTGGACACTATTTAAAAACTAACTTCTATTTCCTTTAGTTACAGAAATTTGAGAAAGTTTATTAAACGAAATATCAGAACATTGTTCTGATTAACCGTGTATCACAGGATCCTTTTCCATACTGAACAGTGTCCATTTATAATTGGTCACTCAAAACGGTTCCCCATTAATAGTGGTATAAATTCTTGGGCTTTGAGGTTTTGTGTGCCACTGAATACTTGTTACTTTCAAAGGGTCTGCTCATCTTTTAAAGCCACAGACCAACTAGTAACATTTTTTGCAGTCTAAAACTTTGAAATTCTTTGAAGCCACATAGGAAGATAATATTTCCATACAAAAAGCAGTAATATTTAGTTTATCACCTTCCTTATTCATCGTAAGCCTCACGTGGATATTCATAAATAAAGTAATTGTCTTAAAAGGTGTTTTGTTTTTACAGCCCTGATGGAGTAAAATGTGTGCAGATTGTAGAGGAGTCAATGTGAATGAAAGTTAGTGGATTTCATCAGGAGCTTGTTCCAATGTGGAGTATTAGTGTTCCACTAGAGGAGAATGAGAATTGAGTCCAGCTTAAAGAGAACAAAATGACTGGTGGGGATTGTGGATCAACAAGTCAGGAATCTACCCTGGAGATCAGTACTCCACTCCCTGGTTACTTTCATGTTTGTCGACTATTAGAATCATCAAGACTCTTCCTATGTTTCTTTGGGGACTGTCTTCTGAGAAAACCTGTGTAGGTTGAAAGTGTTTCTAGATACCAGGTTGCCACTACTGTAAAAATATGAAGAGGGTGGAGCAGTATAATTGGGAGCCCAGTTAGATTTTACCAAGAAAAGCTTATTGGAGACTTATGTAAGTTACTTTCAGTGAACTAAGAAATTCTGGATTGTAATTGGTTATATTGGAAATTATTAAAATCAGTCTGATTTGACTTTTGAATGGTATTGATTCACTCTGATAAATACTTGCAGCTTGAAGACCAGTTTGTGAAGTTGTGGGAAGCCAAATGTCTCCATTTTTTGGAGTGTTTCTTTAAATCTTATGCGAACATTGACTCTTAGATTTTTACTGCGGCCTTAACATACTTTGAATTTACTGTTGGTGTCTGTATATTACTACATCTCATTCATTCCGCAGATGTATTGAACAGCAACCAAACAGTGTTTGGTGGAAACAGAATGGACTCAATCTGTGTGTTGAATGATTATCAGATAAAATTATTGTTTTTCATCTTTACATTTTATAACTTTAATTTTAAAATGAAGTAAGTTGAGAGTTGAAGTTTAAATTACTCAGTCTTAACATTTCTGCTTGTTGAGGAATAGTAGGTATTCTAGGTCTGTTGCACAGATTTATGCAACAGGAATAGAGCATTTTAAAGTCAGTTTTAATCCATTTAATTCTTCTGCAGGTTCATTTAGACTAGAGGGTCTCTTTCAGAAGCAGAACCCAGTAATAAATTTGTTACCATATTTTAGCCGCGTTCCTCTCAAGAAAAAATACTCCTTTGCTGTATAAAAAAAAATGTTCTCCTGGTATTAACTGTTCAGTTCATATTGATGTGGTTTATGCCTCGTTTTCCACATTGGCATTATTTCTTTATAGTAATGGATAACCCCAAGATATAGCGAGGATCCAAATACTCATCTTTCAGTGTATTGGTATGTGAATCTTTCCATTTGGAACTCACCAGGGAAAATGTTTCTTTTCTTTTTTTTTTTTTTTTTAAAGATTTATTTTCATTATTTTTTTATTGGAAAGGCGGATATACAGAGAGGAGAGACAGAGAGGAAGATCTTCCATCCGATGATTCACTCCCCAAGTGAGCCGCAACGGCCGATACTATGCTGATCTGAAGCCAGGAGCCTCTTCTGGGTCTCCCACGCGGGTGCAGGGTCCCAAAGCTTTGGGCCGTCCTCGACTGCTTTCCTGGGCCACAGGCAGGGAGCTGGAAGGGAAGTAGGGCTGCCGGGATAGAACCGGCGCCCGTATGGGATCCCGGGCGTGCAAGGCGAGGACCTTAACCACTTGTGCCACCGCGCCGGGCCCAAAATGTTTCTTTTTTAAAAAGATTTAATTTTTGATTATTTGAAGGGCAGAGTTAACAGGAAGAGACGGAAGGGGAGGCCAGGACTGTGCCAACCAGGATCCTGGAGTTTCTTTCAGATCTCTCACAAGGGTGCAGGGGCCCAAGCACTTTGGGTCATCTTCTGCTGCTTTCCCAGGCATGTTAGCAGGGAGCTGGATTAGAAATAGAACATCTGGAACTCAAGATGGCACCTATATGGGATGCTGACATATGAGGCCACAGCTTTACTCCCCCTAGAAATTTCTTGTGTGCAACTTAAAACATTAGTTGAGTTTAAAGTGTCTGTTTTAGACTGAACCAGTCTACTTGCACATGCTGGCAGGTACAGGAACCAGAGCTGGAACAGGTCCAGTGGGGGTTATTAGGAGTCACTGCCTAGGCTGCGGCTCCCATGATATACATGAGGGCCCAGCATGTGGTGAACAAGGTGTGGGTCACAGCAGCCATTGATTTGCAGAGGAAGGAGGGCAGAACAAACTGATCAACTACCCCAGGGAGGCTTGACAGCAAACTTCTGGGTAAATGGAGACTCTGGAGTGGACTATGTCAGCCAGTTTACCTTGGAAGGATTTCCTCATTCTTGGAGCAGCAATATCGTCACAATCTCAGAACTATTAAACGACCTAAGCAGAACTCTCAGAACATGGTCTGCAATGGGGACCCTAGGGTGGCGTCAGATACTGAGGCAATGGGGAGGCTGGGTATGGTCCCTCCCATTTTACACCCCTTCCCCCATACAGGGAAAAGAAAAATGAAATGGGTAAACAGTGGTCTTGTTCTTCCCACCCTGATCAACTATTTACATGGTTGGCATTTACCATCATCACAAATAAATTTAAGATTTATTTTATTTTTATTGGAAAGTTGGATAGGAGGAGAGACAGAGAAAAAGATCTGTCCGATGATTCACTCCAAAAGCCAGGAGCTAGGAGCCTCTTCCAGGTCTCCCATATGAGTGCAGAATCACATGGCTTTGGGCCATCCTTGACTGCTTTCCCAGGCCACAAGCAGGGAGTTGGATGGAAAGTGGGGTTGCTGGGATTAGAACCGACAGCCATATGGGATCCTGGCGCATACAAGACAAGAACTTTAGCCACTGAACTACTTGCCAGACCCCAAAAATAAACTTTAAAATACATATATTTAAGAAAAAGTATGTCTGTTTTTCAAGTTGGCAATTATTTAGTTCATTACTACCTTTTCAAGTAAATATTCGGAATTGATGTTTCCTGTCATTGTTTTTGTAGTGTGGTGCCTTTGTACTTCTAGAAATTGAATGTACCAAGCTAAAAGAACTGCCTGATTTCTAGAATCCCCACTTGGCAACATTTCTATCCAGTTTGTTTATTTTATTTAGTTTTTCAGCTACTTTTGTTATTAAAGGGAAATAATGGCAACATTACATTGCAAATTCATTTTTGGGATCCATGCAGTGCTTTATTGTATGATCTAAAATACCACTAAGTGGTTAGTGACTGTGTACCAAAAGAAAGTGTAGTGGGTAAACTTTATCCATTTTTTATCGTGTGTGTATATGTGTGTGTGTTACTTTAAGTTTTTTCCTATATGTGTAGATTAATATTTAAATTTTCTTTTAGCTAACTCTTCAAAACAAAAGTTTATAGCCTGTAATTAACTAGTTTAATAAAAATAACTATTAAAACATTCATTTTGTCGTAGTATAACACACACATATGTATAGTCCTTCCTTACACACTTTCTCGCCTCCTTAGAAAGTACAGGGGACTTTCCAAAGATGAGTTCCTTTTTAAATCACCAAATTTTTATGTTTTCTGCAGATAATATCACCTACTGCATTATTTTTGGCTGCAAAAGTAGAAGAACAAGCTCGAAAACTTGAACATGTTATCAAAGTAGCACATGCTTGTCTTCATCCCCTCGAGCCACTGCTGGATACTAAATGTGAGGTATGTAAAAATTGGGATTTTTGATTTTTTTAAAAGATGTTTGAAAGGCAGAGCTTAGCGAGGGGGAAAGAGGTTTCCCTCATGCTGGTTCACTACTCAAATGGCCTCAACAGCCAGCATTGGACAAGCTAAAGTCAGCAGCCTCTTGCAGGTCTTCCACATGAGTAGCAGAGTCCCAAAACTGTGCTGCTTTCTCAGGCACATGAGCAGGTTGCAGGGTAGGAAACGAAGCAGACAGGACACAAACCAGTGTACACAGGGAATGCAGGTTGCGTAGATGGTGGCTATGTGGTAACACCAGCCCCCCCAGAAATACACATTGCACTGTGCCTCTGTGACCAATATTTTTTAACATTTTAATTTTTCTGAAGAGTAATGCTAGTTTTTGAATGTATGTATTAGCACTGTATTAATAAACCTTATTTTAAAGTACCATTTAAAATTTTTCTGACATCTTAAAATGGATTTTACAATTAATAGAACTTTAACATTTTCTTAACATTCCTTATTATAGGTGAGTTGTTTGATTAGAAAACCTTTATCCAGTGAATGACTACCAGATTGTATTAATTTAATTTGACTTAAGTATATTTAATATCCAAATTAATTGAAACTTTGATGAAATATGTGGTTTTATTAATGATGAATTTTACTATAGATACTGACTGTAAGAGAGCAAACAATGTGACCATTGAATAATAGGGAAATTTGTTGTTATTCAAAGCTAATTCTAGACATTTTCTGTTAATTTTACAAAACTGAATGAATATGTAACAGGATGCTGTTCAAATTATAGATGTCTATGTTTTAAAAATTGCCTCTTGGTTTAGAAGTTAGGATATAGTTAGGATGCCAGTGTCCCATGTTGGATCCTGGGTAACACTCCTGAACCCAATTTCTGATCCTTTTTGTCCTGTGGTTCCTGCATTGGAAGGAGCTCCTGCTTGCTCCTAATGCAGACCCTGGCAGCCAGCGGTGTGTAAGCACTTGGGTTCTTGCAAACCATGTGGAAGATGTGGATTCAGTGCTGAGCCCCCAGGCTCATCATGGGCATTGGTGGAATGCACCAGCCAATGGAAACCTTCCCACTGTCTGTCTGCTTCCTGAAAAGATAACTGTGAAAGAGGGAAGGAAGGAATGATTGAACAGTGACCTTTGAAAGTGGAACATAAGTAAAAAGTGCTTTTACTTTGTAAGTTAGTATATTCTCATAAATGAATATTTATTTACATGTGATAATTTTTTTTCTTATCACCATGGTCAGTCATAATGATCTACCTGAGAATGTGGTTGAAGAAAATTTTTCATTTCCTGTATCCCATCGTAATTAAAGTATGAGAAAGCAATTTCTTCAAATTACATCTCTGTGAGCATATGACTCTTTTTTTTTTAATAGCGTAGTGTTTTAAAATTTTATTTTAATTGTTGTGTTTCCTTAAAGAAAGCAAGCTAATTCTAAAAAAACGACTCACTGAACTAGCATTGACTTTGAAGGCATTACCGTGTGAAATGTGCTAGAGTGAATTGTAAGCTTTTTTCTAGAAGTCAGGTTTGAGTTTGGTGTTCTCATTTAGATTGGTGCTTCTGTTCTTAATGTGCCTTCAGAAGCACTGTGTGCCTGGGTAGATGTCCTTTTTTCAACTATCTCCCTGTCTCGTTATTGTTATCTTTAGTTACCTCCTTTTTTGTTTTGTTTACATTTCCTATATAAGAAAGTAATTCATACACCATCACTCACTTTCCCCTGTATTTCCAAACTGCTGTGGTTCTTTTGCAGTCAGAGAAATTATAAGATATAGTGGTCAGGGCCCAGCCCTACAGGCTAGTGGTTAAAGACCTCACCTTGCATGCAGTGGGATCACACGTGGAGTGCTGTTTCGTGTCCTGGCTTCTCCACTTTCCTTCCAGCTCCCTGCTTGTGGCCTAGGAAGGCAGTGGAGGACGGCTTACAGCCTTGGGACCCTACACCAGGCTAGGAGACTGGAGGAGGCTCCTGGCTCCTGGCTTCAGATCAGTTCGGCTCTGGCCATTGAAGCCACTTGAGGAGTGGATAGGAGGTCTTTCTCTCTGTAGCTCCTCTCTGTAGGTCTGAATTTGCAATAAAAATGACAAATCTTAAAAAAAAAAAAAAGATCATGTGGTACAGTGTATTAAACATTTTAACATTTGATCTGACAGGCTTACCTTCAGCAGACACAAGAACTGGTTTTACTTGAAACCATAATGCTACAAACACTAGGTATGTACTTACTGCCAGTTGTTTTCTGTTCTTCATTGTAATAAGTCTGAAAAAATTTCTGGAATGATTTTATTGTTGAAGAAAGTTATTTTAAAACAGGCTCTGGACCATAGTGATGTTGCCTAGTCACAATAAGAACCAATTTTTAGCATTTCCTTTCAGTTGGCCTAATTTAACTGAATGGTAAACATAGCCTGCAGTGTGATTTCTTGGACTTTAGTTGAAACACTGCTTCACACTGGAGTGGGAGTGAAATGGCCCTTAGAGCACTACCTGTGATGGTGTGTGATTGTGATGTGTACAAACATCATTGCTCTCCTAAAGTTATAGTCAGTATGTAATGAAAATGTCATGTCTTTTTTTAATGTGACATAGAAACTAAATGTTGATCATTCTCTTCTAAAAGTTACCTTTTCATAGAACAGGTTCATCTACTCCAGTCTTTCATTTAGTCTAACAATGTAACTTGTCTAAAGTCTTTTAGAAAAACCTAGTAGGGGATGGTAGGGAAAACATGGACTCTGGGAAGATACAACTTTATAAATCTGCAGCCTGTGATCAGCTTTGTAAACTTGGCAGAGTTTCTTTAAATGTTGAGTGCCTCCATTCTTTGAAAGTTGGACAGTAATACATAACTTTAGATTGTGAATTTGTAGCTGTTTTTGTTACTTATTTCTCAATTTGTTGGAAGCTAGTGTGATGAATTACAGCTTCCCATCATAACATTCTTTTTATTACAAAAATAGCTTGTTTAAAGCACAGAATTTGAAGTATTTCTAAAATAAAAGTATAAAAAATATTTGAAAAAATATATTTGAACTTTATTCCCACCAAATGCTTTATTATTTTATTTCACAAGATTAAATTTTGAAAAACAACAGCATATATTATTGATGACATTATTATAAAATTTATTAGATATTGTTTATTACATAAAATGTGTCATACCCATGTTGTGACACTGTTGAACTTAAGAATAACATTTTAAGAGAAAGTTAGAACAGCATTTTGCATATTAGAAATATGTAGTATAGAAATGTAGAAATATAGAGTGCACATCATTCTTTATAAATTTGTATTACCCATTTATTAGGGTTTTATTTATTGTTTCTGAAGGGACTAGGTATGGCATGCACTTTTAATGATAAAAAGAGAAACCCTGCCATACCTAGGGGTTAATTGGACAGTGAAAACTATTTACCATTCACCTTTGATTTCTGAAACACACTTTAAAGAATCCTAAAACCTGAATGCTTCACTTGCCTTGTATTTTTAATTACTAGTGAAATAGTTATTATGTTAACCCTTTGCTCTGATGTGTTGTAAAAAAAATGAGACTGTATAATTGAAAAAGCTGATTACTGCTGTTTTTGCCTTACATTTGTGAAAAATGTTCTTTTCACATCTTCTGAAAGATATGAAATACTAAGTTAAATCTGTGCTTGAATTGTGGAGCCAGCTTACTAATAGTTATTTGCTGTAGATCTAACCTCTTATTAACTTGAGAATCCCAAATTAATTATAATCTGGAATTTTGGATTAATGTAGTCTTTGAGCTTTAACTGTTTTTTAAATTGGGATATTGTACTTCAGAAGCTATTTCTCATCTTTGGAGACACGATGTGCATGTCAGTGATAAGAAACTTTTACAACTTTATCTCTGGGGTTTGTAATTAGTGAATATATTACAAATTTATGGTTATGATGAATGGTGGTTCTCAGGTCAGTAATGGTAAATGATTGGGGGAAAAATAGTGCTTATCATTTCAGGTTTTGAGATCACCATTGAACACCCACACACAGATGTGGTGAAATGTACCCAGTTAGTAAGAGGTGAGTGATCTTAAAACGTTTTTGTAAGATAAAAATACTAATTTTTCTCAATCTGTAATTGATTAGATGTTGGGGAAGAGTTAACTTTTTGTTGGATTGTGTTAAAATGGGGAATTGCCATTTTGAAGCATTCTTTTTTTTCCGCCTCCTACATCAACTTATTCAAGTACTTGTAGTTGTGCTTTGGCCTGGTGTATTAGGTTCTTTTAAACTTAGAGAAGCTAGCTTCACTAAAAAGGTCTGGGGCCTTCCAAATATTGGGATTCTTCTCTCCATCCTCCCTTTGGCTATGCCAGTCCCACTTCGGCTGATGTTAAGAGGTAGGCTGTGCAGAGGTGCAAAAAATAATGCTGATTTCCAGTTTTTGTCAAACTTTGGTTACTTCCTGAAAAGGAATATAGCTTAAGAATTTTAAGGCTAACCTCAAGTTGTTAGCACATTTGTCACTTTTAGAAATGCTTCCCATATTCATTTGGACAAAATTGGCTTAATATGTTTTCAGTTTTTTAGCATTACTCAAAATGGCTTTTTTTGATAGAGGAGTAATTATAAGCAAGATACATTGCGATATGTCTGTTAAACCTTGTGTAAAGTAGGAAAGTTTGGGTATTGTTAAGTGCTTGTAAAACACAAGGTAGTTTTCTACACCTGTCAGTGAATCCTGTATGTCTGTTGTGGTATCCTTAGAAATATTTTTTATACAGGTGCATGTTGTGCTGCTTCTTACTTCTACTTTGCTATTTCCTATTTGAAGTGTTAGGTATTCAGCCCATCCACCTGGTACTTTAGTGTTTTTTTGTTACTTCCCTTTTGAAAATGAAATTTTGCAGTTTCATTCACCAGGCTTTTTAAGTTTGTCGTAAACAAAATAGGTAAGACTTGTGAAAGCCTTGTTCTCTTTTTAGCATTTATGTATATATTCTCACTTTTTATTTGTTCTACATTGAACTCATTTTGTGCCTAAATAAAATTTTGTTATGTTAATAACTGCATTTTAGAAAAACTCTGGTACCATAGTATTAAAAACCAGAATGCTAAAAATTCCAATTTTTTTTAATCTCAGTGTAGCCTACATTGTTAAACTAGGACATATTTAATTAATAGTTCCTCTTTTTGTGGTTGTTTATTTTGTAACACGTTCTCATCCCTATTATTACAGTGTAGTATAGAATTATATAAATAGTTCTAATGGTAAATTTTTTAAAAGCATTAAATAGTTTTCATTTTCCTGAAAAAGCTGTTTCTAATAGTAATAGGTAATCGCTTCTCAGCCTTTTGGCTAAGATCAAGTGTAATAGTAATAGGGAACCATATAATTTTAAACAGAGCCTAGTGAAAGAAAGCTTAAAAGATACTACTGTTTTTTAAGTTTCCTTAAATGTATTAAGAAGTACAATTGGATTTCAGATTATTATTTGTCAAATTAGAATAATTTTTTTAAGTCCAAACTTTATATAATAATTTTTGCATGTGGTCTACTACATTTAAATACTATAAACATGAAATAAGCTAATTTGAAAATTGATTTTTTAAGATGTGCTTACTTTTAGTTGAAAGGCAGGGTTGCGGAGAGGAGAGACAGAGAGAGATCTTTCATTGACTAGTTCACTTCCCAAATGGCTGCAAAGGCCAGAGCTGTGCTGATCTGAAGCCAGATCTCCTCATGGGTGCAGGGACCCAGGAAGCCTTCCCAGGCCATCAGTGGAGAGCTGGATCAGAAGTGTAGTAGCTAGGAAACAAGCCAGACCCATACAAGATTCTGACAACACTAAGCCAGACACAAAAGTTAAATTTTAAAACAATGGCAAAAGCTGCAGGCTTGATAACATCCAAAATGAAGCATTTACTGCTGACAAATGGTGTTTTTTTTTTGTTTTAATTTTTTATTTAATGCTTATTAGAATGTGGATGATTCTTAAATTTGAATACAAACAATGTATATGTTTAACTTCATTTTGTCTAACATTTCTGATAATGATAATTTTTATCATTTAAAATGTTCTGTCATATTTGGTGTTTTTTTTTTCTTTGTTACTGCTTGCAGCTACAAAAAGAACATTAATTATTGCATTCTCTATTCAAAAACTGTTTATATACATATATTTTTTTAATTTAGATGTATTCCTGGATGAAAATTACTCTGCCAGTTTAGAATTATCTTTTCCTTCCTTCTCTAGATTTTGTTAGATTCAGGGGGTTGGGGAGGGTGGTGAATGAAATTGATTCTTTGAAATCTATTTCCTCCTTCTGGAAATGAGAGTTGATATGCTGCTTTTGCTACAGAACTGGCTAATGTCATTTTCAGGGACCTTTCACTTCTATGATTTCTCCTTCCCTCCCCACCAGGAAAGAATGCCATACTTAAGTCACACTGCCTCCAAGACATCTGATGCTTTGATATTCTTCCTTAGCACAACTCTGCTAAACCCAAATCCCTTTTGTAAAACTTGTGTTGATGATCCACATGGGGCTACAGGGATTACAGGTGCCATGAATTTAAAAAGAAAAAAAAGAAGGGGGGAGGAATTTGAAACATGTTAGGGATGAAATTGATGTTGACTGATGCTAGGTAAACAGTGATTATGAACATTAATGGGAGAAAATGGGGAAACTCTTCCAAAAGAGTGTTGCTGTTGAGAAGAGTAAGAGGCACTAGGGGAGGGGATGTGGTGTTTAGTTTATGACAAAGCTAGTTAACATTTTGTTTTCTGTTGGGAACCAGTGTTGGAGCATCCTGATTTTCCCTAGAGTACCTATATCTTTTCTTAGTGTTGCCTTTAATTAGAATCTTTAATTTTTTTTAAAGTAATTTTAGTGGAGCTTCCCAAGTTGTATTTCTACATTGCTTATCCTCTGTTTATGCTTTAATTGAGCAGTTTGTGCTTTGAGTTTTGGGGGTGGGGGGGTTGTTTTGTTTTGATGCAAGTATTTAAGACAAATATGACTGAGGAGTAAGTCTGGCAGGCAACTCTTTGTATTTTGTATTAGACTTCAAAAATCTTTTCTTCTTCTTCTTCTTTTTTTTAAATCCAGGAGAATGCTTTATTGCAACTTTTAGCTGACTAGATGCTTAACTTAGTAACAAGTTTAGCCCTTGTAACTGGCTAGCTAAAAGCAAATCGGCTTGTTTCTCAGATCTTTGGGGGATAGCAAGAAAACATTTGAGTGAATGTTGTTGAAGATTTTCAGTAGTATAGAAAATGATGGCGCTCTTGTGATATTTGTAAGTAGTAAGTAAAATTTACTTTTTGTGTACAAATCTTTGAAGTTTTTGTTGTGTTGAGAACTTTTTGATGGTAGCAAGTTAATGCTGATGGTATCGTCTTTGGTTTTTTTTTCTTTTCTTACAGCAAGCAAGGATTTGGCACAGACATCCTATTTCATGGCTACCAACAGGTTGTTATCCTGACCCTCTTTGTTGCACTGTTGTAGCACACTATAGCTTCCTTTAATGCAGGGCCCCCTCAATGTGTCTCTTACCCTTGTTGCAACAGGAGACTGGACCATCTACTGTGGTGGTACCTTCCTGTTTGCTTTGCGGTGTATTGTACAAGGGACTTTGGGCACAGAGGGGTTAAATGCACAATGTGAAGTGTAGTGGTGCTTTCTGATGACATATTCTCGATTTGTGAGTGCATAAGTCTAAAATTGGTAGCCTGAATAACAGCTAAAGATTACAAAGAGCTAAACTTAACGTAGAAATTCGAGCAACTTGGTAAGTATAAAGCTATTTCTAGTTTACAATTATAGTTAAATGACAGTTTTTAAAAATTTCACATTGCTCCAATCTTAAAAGTTTTTTAATAACTAAGATTTATGTAACATAGGATTTTTTCTAGTTAATACCTGTCATTAGTAAATTAGAAGTCGTCAAGTTCTAGCCATAGCTGAGTTTGCATAAATATAATTTTGCTTTTTAAAAAAGTTTTCAGTTTTTATAAGATGAAAATTTGTGTTTGTGACTCATGAGTCATTTTATCAATTCTGAAATAGTGCTGCAAGAAGCCTTTAAATTTCTAATAATTCTCTTTGAGATTGACTATATTGGTGGTTTAAATTTGTTTTAAAACAGGTTTGGGGAGAAAAAACAAATAATTTTTGTGTGATTCTTAATTTCTTATAGCACTTGATGAATTTTATTTAAAAATGTGGTTTGGCACAGGCTTATGTTGTTGGCCTTTTACCTCTGTCCCCTAGATAGTTGAGTAGGAAAGGAAATACTTTCAAGTAGTGATGAGAAAAGGCTGGCTATGGCATGTTATGCTCAGTTTTTAGTATACAGCAGGAATAGAAAGGTAGCTTTTAAGTGTTTAGTGACACTGAACTTTGAAGTTGTTTGTGAAAGGTAAGTTTTCCTTGTGGCTTTTCTAAAAGACAGGTTTACAGAGTTTATGTTAAATTCTCTTTAATTTACTAGAGAATTGTATATGGTCAGCCACGCCAGATTTAATATAAGCCCTTATTATAAAGTTGCTATGTTTGCAAATAGTATTTTTTGTGTTTTGCCATGGCATTACAAAATAAACAAAAATTATAAAAGTTTGGAGTTTATGCTTGCATATAGCAATTATTATTCATTATACTATCTTTCCCTCGTATACTTTGGATTTAGATGTGAGAACAACAATTATTTTAAAGAATGTATTTTGTAACTCTTAATCATTACTTAATAAAATAAGATTTTATACTCTAGACTTTAAGAAGAAAATCTCTATAATGTTCTTTTCGCTTTGACCTCACTGGTAAATGTTTTTCTTTGTTTTACATATATGAACTTCTATGGCTCTCCATTTTCAAACCTGCTCCACGCAGTCTGCATCTTACAACCTTCTGTCTTCAGTACAAACCAACAGTGATAGCATGTGTGTGCATTCATTTGGCTTGCAAATGGTCCAATTGGGAGATTCCTGTGTCAACTGATGGAAAGCATTGGTGGGAATATGTGGATCCTACTGTCACTCTGGAATTACTAGATGGTAAATAGAGAAGAAACTTTTTTACAATATTTTTTTTACAATAATAATTTCCTACTTACCCATTGCCACCTTAACAGTTCCACCCTGTCCAATGAGGGCATAGACATGCACAGATATATTAGTTACACCAGTTCTTTGTAAAATAATTTTCTTTCAAAAGGTGGAGAGAGGGAAGTCTTTCATCCACTATTCCGCAAATGCCAGTAACAGCTTGGAAGGGCCAGGAGCTCATTCTGTGTATCTCACGTGAGTGGCAAGTTGAATCAAAGGTACTTGAGCTGGCATCTGCTACTTTTCTGGACATGGACATGAGCAGAGTCAGGACTTGACTTCCCAAGCAGTGCCTTAATGAATTACTAAGTCAAAGGGCCACCCATTTCATCTACTGATCGTTGATACTTAAGAAGATAAGGATTCTTGGGCCCGGCGCAGTGGTGCAAGTGGTTAAGATCCTCGCCTTGCACGCCTGGGATCCCATATGGGCGCCGGTTCTATCCCGGCTGCCCCGCTTCCCTTCCAGCTCCCTGCCTGTGGCCCGGGAGAGCAGTTGAGGACGGCCCAGAGCTTTGGGACCCTACACCCGCGTGGGAGACCCGGAAGAGGCTCCTGGCTTCGGATCGGCATAGCATCGGCCGTTCCGGCTCACTTGGGGAGTGAATTAACAGATGGAAGATCTTCCTCTCTTTCTCTCCTCTCTGTATATCCGCCTTTCCAATAAAAACATAATAAAAATAAATCTTTAAAAAAGAAGAAGATAAGGATTCTTTTAAAAAAAGGTAATTTCATTTTAACAATTTGATAATGGAATTTTAAAGCGCAGTCACACGTTTAAATGAACGGAATGACACAGAATTCATTAGTTTAAAGAAAAAGCATTTGCATATATTATTAACCACTACAACGATTTAAAACTCCTCAGGACTTTTCTAAAAAAAAATACATGAACTAAAATGCTATAGATGATAGAACAAGAATGCATGTTTAAAGTATTCTTACATTGTTGAGTTTAAAATGTGTATACTCATGCCATTGTTATGCAGCAAGTTAAACCACCACCTAGAGTGCTGGTGCTTCATGTTAAGACACTGACCAAGTCCCAGCTGCTCCACTTCCAGTCAAAGCTGCCCAGCAATCCACCTAGGAAGGCAGGGGGAGGTGGTTGCCAAGTTTTGGGGTGTATACATTGTTTTGCAAATTATTTTGTAGTACTCTATAAAACTTGAGTAGGGTACTTAAGAAAGAAAAACACTTTTATGTCTGCTATCTACCAGCATTTATGTAAAGAAGTTAATGTATATTTAATTTTGGTGGTTAGGATGTTACATAAGTGGAGTCAAAACAATTTGTTAATGTTGGACTCAAAAGTACCTTCTGTTAGTCTCATTGACTAATGTAAAGTAGAAAAGTTGTATAAATTTTTTAAAAGTTGCTTTAAGTTTTTCAAATTATGTGGTGAAGTTTCGGACATTAAATGTTGTTTTATCCTGACTGGTTCAAAAAGTCCATGAACCTTTAGTAGGAAATAACATTAAATTTATCAGGGAAGTTACATCTGGAAAGACAGATTTTGGCTTATGGGACAGTTTTAAATAGGGTGTGTGTGGGTGTGTGTGTGTGTGTGCACATGTGTGCTTGCACGCATGCTTCTAAATCTGTAGTAGTGTGGCATTTTTGTGTGTGTATTGTACTTTTCTAAGACTAAGGCTTATATTGCTTTCAATTTTCAGTCAGCTTTTGCCTAGAATAGTTTCCAGAGAAAGAAGCTTTCTATTTACATGTAAAAGTAATGAATGAATCTGTAATCATACTTTAAGTCACTTGTTTAGTATTATTATTTGTCTTGAGAAGAGTGGCCAGTAGCAGTGATACTATTTTGAGTTATTAAACTATAATTCATCTTTATGGCACTTCTATGGAAAAGTGTATCATCTTATTATAAATCTTAAATTTAAGAGAACTGAAAAAAATGTATCACAATGTAGTTTGAATAGTAGAAAGTAAGCATATGGTTAAAGAAATTTTTTTAACAGCATTGGACTTGGAAATATTTTTAACTTAAAGAACTAGCAAAATAGTATGGAGTTCCTGTATGTCCTTCACCCAGCTTCATCTTACATAACAATCTGTAATTACCAAAACCAGGAAATTAACAATGATATAATACTATTACCCCAGATTTTCCCGTTTTTCCCTACTTTAGGATCCTATATTCCATTCAGTTGATATGCTTTATTAGTCTCCTATAATCTGTGATAGCTCTTCAGTATTCCCTTGTCTTTTGTGACTTTGACACTTTGGAAAATAATTATTTCAGAATGATCATCACGTAGAGTTTTGTCTTATGTTTTCCTCATAAGATCGAAGTTATGTATTTTTGGCAAAAAATCTTCAGAAATACGTGGTTCTCTGCTTGGTGTGCATCCTAGCACAAGGTGTCTATCACACTGATAACTCTTTTCCATGGAAATACAGCCATGATCAGATGATAAAAGCTGATGATATCTCCTGGCTTCTTCCACTACGAAGTTAATAGTAATTAATAAATACCTTAGGGAAGATAAGTTGGGATTATACAAATATCCTTTTTTCTTAGACTTGCTTGTAAACACTAAGAATTTTGTTATTACATCTTGCGAGCAACAAATATTGCTGTTATTTACCTCATAGAGACTTAGTAGTATTCAGTGGCGATTTATTTTTGTGCTACTCAATTTTCCAGACACTAAGAATGTCTACTTTTATAAAGGTTGACTAGAAGGATAACAATGAAGTAGATAAGCTCTTAGGGTCCCTTTTTAATACTGCCCTCTTCAGAGGAATTAAATACTATAAAGGTACCTTCTAAGTTTTAAATTTTAAATTTTGTTTTTAGAGCTAACACATGAGTTTCTACAAATATTGGAGAAAACGCCTAGTAGATTGAAGAAGATTCGAAACTGGAGGGTAAGAGAATTAGCAGGATATTACAGAATATTAGTTTGTCAATTGCCTATTTTATAGCTAACCAATTTTGTTATTAAATAACCCTTCTAGTACTCATAAACATATCAAACTACATGTAGTCATAGTTTATTCAGTAGACATTGTTCAGTAGACATTAAGTATCTCACACACTTTCTTTTTAATTCTAACAGTGAGTATATCAGATATACTCTTAAATTTGCAGGTGGAGGAACTAGAGCCTAGACAAATTAAGTTACTCTAATTCTGGGCTCAAGCTTAATTTGTATTTGATCTTAAGACCAGTGCATTCAACTTTTTATAGCCTTCCCATTATGCCTCCAAATAAGACATTTATTTACTGGCAACAAGTTCTTAAAGGTGATGTGTGTGTGTGTGATATTTATAGTAAACAAGTTTTTATCTCCACATAATGATAGTGTTATATGTATATAATTTAACAGACTATAGGAAAATAGGTTTTGTATTAAATTCCTTTGCTAGCACTGTCCTTTGTGTTTTATTTAAATAGGCTGATCAGGCGGCTAAGAAACCAAAAGTAGATGGACAAGTATCAGAGAGACCGCTTCTCAGTTCATCTTTGGTCCAGAATTCCATGTTAGTAGATAGTGTCACTGGTGTGCCTACCAACCCAACTTTCCAGAAACCGTCTACATCAGCATTCCCTGCTCCAGTACCTCTAAATTCAGGAAATATTTCTGTTCAAGACAGCCATACATCTGATAACTTATCAGTGCTAGCAACAGGAATGCCAGGTACCTCATACAGTTTGTCATCACACCAAGAATGGCCTCAGCACCAGGAATCCACAAGAACAGAACAACTCTATTCACAAAAACAGGAGACATCTTTGTCTGGTAGCCAGTACAACGTCAACTTCCAGCAGGGACCTACTGTATCACTACATTCAGGATTACATCACAGACCTGACAAAATTTCTGATCATTCTTCCGTTAAGCAAGAATATTCTCATAAAGCAGGGAGTAGTAAACACCATGGGCCAATTTCTGCCACTCCTGGAATAATCCCTCAGAAAATGTCATTAGATAAATACAGAGAAAAACGTAAGCTAGAAACTCTTGATCTTGATGTAAGGGATCATTATATAGCTTCCCAGGTAGAACAGCAGCACAAACATGGACAGTCCCAGGCAGCCAGCAGCAGTTCTGTAACTTCTCCCATTAAAATGAAAATTCCTATCACAAATACTGAAAAGCCTGAAAAGTACATGGCAGATAAAAAGGAGAAGAGTGGCTCGCTGAAATTACGGATTCCAATACCACCCACTGATAAAGGAACAAGTAAAGAAGAACTAAAGATGAAGATAAAAGTCTCATCTTCTGAAAGGCACAGCTCTTCTGATGAAGGCAGTGGGAAGAGCAAGCATTCAAGCCCACATGTTAGCCGAGACCATAAGGAGAAGCACAAGGAGCACCCTTCCAACCGCCACCATGTCAGCAGTCACAAGCATTCCCATTCCCACAGTGGCAGCAGCAGCAGTGGTGGCAGCAAACACAGTGCTGATGGAATCCCACCCACTGTTTTGAGGAGCCCAATTGGCCTGAGCAGTGATGGCTATTCTTCTAGTTCCAGTTCTTCAAGGAAGAAGCTGCATATCAATGATGCATCTCACAACCATCACTCCAAAATGAGCAAAAGTTCCAAAAGTTCAGGTAGTTCATCTAGTTCTTCCTCCTCTGTTAAGCAGTATATGTCCTCTCACAACTCTGTTTTTAACCATCCCTTACCCCCTCCTCCCCCTGTCACATACCAGGTGGGCTACGGACATCTCAGCACGCTCGTGAAACTGGACAAGAAGCCAGTGGAGACCCACGGTCCTGATGGCAATCACGAGTACAGTACAAACAGCCAGCATATGGACTACAAAGATACATTCGACATGCTGGACTCGCTGCTAAGTGCCCAAGGAATGAACATGTAATCATTTGTTTAGGTCACTTTTTCTTTACTTTTTTTAATTTAAAAATTGTTGGAATGGAAAAATTCCTCCTGATCTAGCAGTGGTAACACCTGCTGTTTCTGCCACTGCTTCAATATTTGTAAGTGCTGCTTTATTCTTCATTCTGAAAAGAAGAGATTATAGTAAACAAGTTTTTATCTCCACATAATGATAGTGTTATAAATACTGCAAAAGCATGGAAGGTGCAAAACTCAATATTTCTACAGTTGCAGCTGAGAACATTAGGATGAATGGCTGGCTGCTTCTAGGGATATAAGCTGCCTCAAGCATTTGTTATTTATAATTTGAATACTGTATAGCTATTTTTTGTTGTTGCTTGGCTTTTGAATGAGTGTAAATTGTTTTTCTTTTGTGTATTTATATTTGTATGTATGATTTGCATGTTTCAATGATAAAGGGATAAAACAGTATACTGACAACTGTTTACAAGAAAGTGGAGAAAAATGTACATACATTTTTGTATGTTTAGATATTACCATAAATACTCAGGATTGGAGCTGCTTGTAAGTATAACAATATACAGAATAACTTTATTTTCTCTTGTCAGAGTCCATCACTAATCTAAAACAAAGGTGGCACTTTTTTATGTTAACCTTAAACTCTAGGCCTTACCGGAAGCCACTGAAGGGGGACACTTCACTACCGGATGGGTGTACAGTGCCAAGCATGGGATGGTCAGTTACACTGTCGGGCATGAAACTTTTGCCTTCAGAGGTTCTGACCAGATTGGCCACTGAAATAACCCCTAATTTTCTGAAGGCTTGAAGAGGAAAAAAAGTTTACATACTCTTGATGTGAAGTGCATTTAAATGTTTGTTGGCTTGTTGCAGTACTATAAAACAGAGCTGTTAATAATGGTTGTGTGAATTACTGTGATTTGAAAACTAAATTCACAAAGATTTATTTACATAGTGAAAGAGTTAGTTTTTTTCTTAAAGAACTTTAACACTACATATTTTATTACCAGTAAACAGGGATCACTTTTCCTTTAACATTCAGAATGACACCATATTCTTAAATATATTCCTCTCTTGAAGTGTGTTTGTGTGTGATGCCATATTTCTTTTTCAGGTAAATGCAGTCTTCCATACAAAAATGAAATTAAACCTATGCTCTCTCAGTTCTTTTATATTCTAACAATAAATAAAAAGAAAAGATCACTGTGCATTGTACCTGTATTTGTAGCTTAATGTTATTATCAGGAAGCTCTGTTAAAAATGATCAGCCTCCAGACAAACCGCTGGTGGAGGTTTTACATTTGTTTGCACATCTCAGAATATTCCTGTTGATGTAAAGTTTGCACAGTCATCTGACTTCTGATCAAACTATAGATGTGTTTGAATTTGGCTTAAGCAAACCAGTAACACAGCTCTTGCTTAATCAGTTAATCTTGACTTTATTCTGTGGTAAATCTTGGAGCTGTTGAGTATTGTTGAGATGGGTTGGATTCAACCTCTGTTGAACTAAAAACTGTCTTAATTTTCTTTTGTGTGTATATGAATTATTTTTGTTACAAAGCCACTGTTACGTGCACAATTGTAATTTTACTCATGTGTTGTGGTTGTAAATATTGAAAGTTGAATCTTGTGCTTTATTTCATTTAGTAATTGCCTATTTTGCTGGTAGCTTTATTATTTTTTTTTTTTTTTTAAGAAAACTGTTCATTGTTTTGTCAATGTTATTTGAACTTGATACTAGGAGCCTCTTTCTAGGGCCTTTTGCCTAGCTAGCATGTCTTAACATTGGTTCTTGTCTTGCATAACTTTAGTAATCTGTCTATATGTAACCTTATTGCTCTGTATGGCATAATCCTGTATCCACAAACATGGTAATTTTGATGCAGTTCTTTTACAGTGGTACATAATCCAAGGACTAGTGTAGAATTAAGCTGAGTACAAGATTGGGGGGGCGGGGGCAGGGGTTTGTTCTTGGTAATTTAGATGTGAAATCTCCACAGAGCTATCATGTGAAATGATATAGGGCGGTTGTGCTACTGTATAATTGGGGATAATACCAGGAATTTTAATAAGATTTTGTAAAGAGTATCCAGAAAAGTAGTGAACTTATTTTCAGTATGACATAGAAAAACAATGTGAATATTTAAGGTCTGTGACTATAGTTAAACTTCACTAAGAATTTGCAGAATTGTTTTGAGATGTGGGAATAAAGGTAATTTTGTTGAATCTTTATTGGTGCTAATGATGGACAGTTAAAAAGTAGCTAGTGTATATTGTTATGGGTCAGTACTTATTAGTACTTCCAAAATTGAAATGCTATGTATTCACTTTTCACTCTGTAAATGTACTTCTTTACACTTAACTTTATTTATTAAAGGGCAGCCAGTTCTAATTTTTACAGGATTGTGTGAGCTGTTCAAACTCTTTAACCTCTGAACAGGATATTAAGCTTCCAGAACCACAATGGGGGTAAATATGGAGATTGAAATTTCATTTCCATTAAAGGAAAATTCTTATTCATATTACCATGAATTTGCTTTAACCATCTCATTCGCACGAAATCGTTAATCTGCCTCGTCCCAGTAGGCTCTACCAAAGAAAAAGACTCAGATGAATGAACACTGTTAATGTGAGTCTTCTTATAAGTAGCCATAAATAAACCAAAATAGTGTCATCAGATTTAGGGATGAAATTCAGTATGTGCAAAGTACTGTTAAGGTGATACATTTTGATGAGATTTTTAAAAAAAATATTAAAAAGCATTAAACATCCAATAAAAGAGTGACTCATTTTTAAGTTGTGCTTTCCCAGGATTGCGGACTTATTGCCTTTATGCAGGAAATATGCCACAGACGGGCTTTATCTACTTCTACCGTTTTAAACCAAGTTTTCTGATACTTAGCTCTTAGGCCCCTTTAAATATTTTCCTTAGCTACTTTAAAATACATTTTTAGAACCAAAGCAAGGGGTGTTTGTTCACAGAAACATTCTCAGAGACCTGCATTTTTAAAAAGCAGCAGTGTCCTTTAGTGGAAAAACCCTGCAGAGTGTCCAAGTTGGAAGTATTTTAAGTTCCTAAAAGTCACACTGTCAGCCCTGTGTTTGTCTTTGGGAGTGGTCACCTGTGCATCTTGCTCTTGTATGTATGCAGATTAATTTTGGTTCAAGTTCTTGGGTTTTCAGTCAGTTGAAGAAATTTTCTAATTATGGTTTCTTCAGGCAGCTTATATAACTTTGTAGTAATTTGGAAAATACCCTCCTTTTGAACTAAGGCAATGACTAATTGACACCTGCTTCAGAAAACCAATTTGAAATGCTTTTGTTATCCTTGTCAGAAAATAAGGTTTCAAACACATTTTTATATTTGAAAATTTTAATTGGCAATTTAAATTCCTTAGCCAACCTTAGAAATAAACCACTGCATTTATGTTAATATTAACACACTTCTGTCAGTCTACCTGGTTGGTTAGCTATTTCAGGATTTTTGCATTTGTTGTGAAAATAAGGGCAGTGGGTTGTGTTGAGGGTTTTTTTTTTTTTTTAAGCTCAGTGACAACTATAAAAAAGACACTGCTGTTCCTGAATGAGCTCACCTTTTTCAACTTGTGTCTAAAAGTAGTGCTTTTAACCTGCTGCTTAAATTTGTGATTCTTGGGGTGTCTTTGTTGAGAAGATAGACAGTTCTTATGACAGAGAATATTTGATCCAGTATTTTTCTTAGTTTGGCAGTCTTAGGAGGCTTTCTTGAAAGGCAGTAGGATTTGTTAAGTCCAAGTTTATCCAAATGAATTAGCAAATTACAGTCTCCTAGAGACTGGAATTAACCAAGTTCAACACTCATGCCCGTTAGTGCTAACGCTGATTCTGTTACATTGAAAAGCAGCATACTCTGTCCTCGCATTCTGAGAGTATCAAGTTCCAAGGCTCAGAGCTTTGATCATATCTCAAATCAGCAAATAATTTCATTGCTGTAGCTAAGGTAAGCCAAATCAGCAGTTTGCAAAGAAACATGCGTCTTGCCAGTGAGGCTCAATTGAGCTCAAGTGTTCTAGCCCTGAGAGCAGGGTTTCAGTTTTTCACTCCACAGTGTCAGTTTGGGCCCAGCCAGCTTTTACCTGTGACTTCCCCTTTTCTGTCCTGTTATCCACCATCATCTGCTTTGCCTGACAAGCAGGTTAGTAAGCAAGGTACATTGAAGGTTGCACGGCTGGGAGTAGATTTGTTGTGATGAAGGCAACTTACTGTGATACATTCATCTAAAAAATCTTGGGGCTAATTTACTTTTGTTTCCAAGCTTTGGGTGGGAACCTCATTGAAAAGACCAGTCCTGGATATTTGTTTATTTTGGGTTGCCCATTGTTTAATATGAGTACATTCGTGCAAGTCGTGTGTGTTTCAAGCTGCTTCACATGATTAGAAAATCTTAATGTGTTCTCATCCGTTGTTAGCAGATTGAGATTTCTTTTTCTGAATGTGCTCAAACCCCTCCACCACTACCACCACCAAGGAATAAGGATTGAGTAGGCTGCTTGCTGATAGAAAATGCAAAAACAAAAATATGTGTGTATGGCATGAATCACTCTCTTAGTTTTTCATTATTTATACAATTATTAATAAATATTTATTGACACCATAAGTCCAAGGCTCTGACATGTCTCGTTAACTTGATTGAAGTAACTCTGGATCCTTGGGAAATATGGGAAGGTTTCTAATATAATTAACTCTTCAAGTGACTTCAGATATCCAGGAATAAGGCCTCTGGTAGCAGGTAGACTACATTCCTGTCAGAGCCTCAGAACCTAATGGCAGAATGACCTGGAGTGAGTTGACTTTGTTCCTTGATTTCCTTTTCTGTAAGCTGTCTGCCATTCCTGTGAAGTTTCTGACACAGGTAGTCTAGGAGTGTAAAACAGGTGGTGGTTAAGAAAATTGAGGGTAGATTTGGGATGCTGAATGTAATGAGGCCAATCCAGCTTGAGCATATTGCTGTGTCCAGAATTTCTGGAATTGGGCGGGGTGGGGGCAGGGAGCAGTGGACAGGCATAGCACAGCAGCACATTGAGCTGCTCCTTGGGACTCCTGTCGGAGTGCCCAGGATCGGTTTCCCTGTTGGCTTTGCATCTAGCTTCCTGCCAGTGTATCTGACAATAGCAGCAGGTGATGAACCAAGTATTTGGGCCCTGCCATTCACATGGAGACTAAGTTTGAGTTTGTAGCACTCGGCTTCAGCCTGGTCTAGCCCTGGCTGTTGCAGCCATGTTGAAAGTGAACTAGTGAAATGGAGATCTCTCTCCCTGCCTCTTAAATAGAAAATTTATTATGATTGATGTTTTGGCCTTGTCAGACTTTTTAGATCACTGTCATGAAAGGTAAGAGTAGTTGCACTTAACTGAAAGTGAAACTGTCCCTCAATTGTAAACTGCTTATCATGGCTGCACACTACAAGCTCCACTCCCCACTGGTTTTCCTGCACCTTCCACTTGAGAGAAAAATAAAAATAAATTAATAAAAATTAGGGAATTTCCCTCTAAAAATACATTATAATCCCAAATGTAAAGTAAGTGTCTAAATCACAGAAGTTGTTTTACACCAGTGAAGACTAGTCCTGTTAGGATATGGTAAGTTTCACAGAACTTCACAAAGTTAACACTAGTCATCCAGGTTGACTTAGCCACTTTTTCCCCTGCAAGTTTTCAGGATGATCAGAGATAGACATTTTAGCATGAGGATCTATGCATGCTCCCACCTCCTGGAATAATGCAGGGCCTCACTAGCCAGAGTGCTTGCAAAGAGCTCAGGTCTCTCCGTTGTCCTGAAATGCACCCAAGCTCAGTGTTTCTGCTCAGTTTGCAGGAGTGATTCATGGATAAATTAAGCTGCAATAGTTCACAACTTAGAGGCTCCCAGACAGCAGGATAAAGCGGCATTGCCTTATTCAGCCTCCATTCTGGCTCCAGCATCCTATGTGGACACTGCTTCAAGTCCAGGCTGCTCTACTTCCTGTTCTCCCTGCTAATGGCCTAGGAAAGCAATAGAGTTGGGGCCCCTGCACCCACATGACTAAGAAGCTTCAGGCTTCTGGTTTTGGTTGGCCTGTTCTCTGCCTTTGGGGCCATTTGGAAAGTGGACCAGTGGATGAAAGGTCGGTCCCTTCTTAACTGCATTTCAAAAATAAATCTTAAGAAAATAAACTGCCGGTAACAACAGGCTACCTGCCCCTCAAAGTGTAAAGTCAGCATCTGCAGGAAAGATGCTTTATTATTTGATCGGCATTTAAATAGCTACTCTAAGCTACATTAATAGTTGCCAGCATAGAAAGTTAAAAGGTAAAGATAGCCTGACAGGTGATCAAGGTGTTTGCTTCTTGAGCAAGTTAAGTGGGTTATTACATAGGAGCTACTCATCACCAAAGCCCAGAGCTGTTGGCAGCACCACTGGAGTGAGACCACACTGCAAGTCCCAGCTCTGTGTGATGGCAGCTTTCTTAACTCAAATATAAAGTACCCATAGTATAATGCTAAAGTAGGCCCAAGCAGGTACTGTGAATTACTCTAGAATTTCAGTTGGAGGGTAAAGTTTCTGTGGTTGAATTTGGGCCCTGAGTGTAATGTGGTTGTCAGAAAGAGATGTTGTTATTAATGGTTTATGGAAGGGGGATGGAAGTATTGCTACATGAACCAGAAAGCTCTTCACACCATTAAAGTGACACAGAGAACCTGGCAGGAAGTTAGGGATATATGAGTTGAAATTTCTGCCAGCCATGCACTCTGACTACCTTACCCATAGATCCAGAACATTTACTTGCCTATGATGTCCCTATAACTTAGTGGGACCAGGAATAAGATGCCATGACGGCCACGTGGATGTGAAATGCCATATGGAGGAGTCTGAGGACAATCCTAGAAATTCTTGCACACCACACATCCAGACTTCCAGATGCATATTCAGTTAGGGCACCACTCCAAACACGAGAGTGAAAATGCATGGGTGGGACCCCTTGCCTCCCTTCACCCGCCTCACTGGGAGCCCTGTGATGGGTACCTCCATGTGGGGTGGCCCACACACTTGAAGTCCTGCTCTCACTTGTAAGCCGTGTTTATACCTCTGCTTTGAGTTCTTATTTCTGAATCAAAAACCCAGAATAAAGATTAGGATACAAAGTCCCCTCACTAAGGTACTCCATCACAATCTGAATTGGTGAATTCATCAGTGTTTTCAGTAGTATCTTGAATAGAACTTCAGAATGCAGCTGGTATTGTAAGCTGAGTTTGGAAGGCAGCAAGGAAAAGAGTTTAAGTCGGATGAGTGGCAGTCTCGGCTCTCATCAGGAGGCTAGCCTTGAGAAAACTGGTTAATGCCAAACTATGTACAGATTCTTGAAGCCAAGCAATTCTGCCATCTGAGACAGCAGCCTGAGTTAAATGGCCTTTGCCTTGCTGATTCAGGTGCCCCTCTGGTAGGGATGTACATCTGAACAATGAAGAGTGTAATTCCAAACAGATGGTTCTATCTTAAAATCAACATGTCACAGAAACAACAGAAAGCTCTTGGAACCAAGATCGGTGGGTGAAAATATCAGTGTTTGCTAGATTCTGTTTAATGTTCCAGGTGCTGTGACACAGCAAATTAAGCCATTGCGTGTGATGCCAGCATGTCATATTGGAATGTTGGTTTGATGCCTGGCTGTTCTGTTTCTGATTTAGTCCCTGGTTACTGCACCTGGGAAGGCAGCAGATGACGGGCCCCTGCTACCTGCACGGGAAACCCAGATGGAACTCCTGGCTCCTGGTTTTGGCCTAGCTATTGTGAACATTTGAAGACTGAGCCAGTGATTGTGTGTGTGTATGTGTGTATGACCCTATGTCTTTCTTTCATGAAGCTCTACCTTTCAAAGAAATAACAAACTTTTTTTATTTGAAAGCTGAAGTCAGTACTCTTTCAAAAAAAAAAAAAGTATTGATTACTATTGAAAAGGAAGATTTACAGAGAAAAGTCTGTCTGCAGGTTCACTCCCCAAGTGGCCACAATGGCCAAAGCTGGACTGATTGGAAGCCAGGAGCCAAGAGTTTCTTCCAAGTCTCCCACGCAGGTGCAAGATCCCAAGACTTTAAGCCATCCTCAACTGCTTTCCTAGATCACATGCAGGGAGCTGGAAGGGAAACTGGAGCAGCCAGGACACAAACTGGCACCCATATGGAATCCTAGCACTTGGAAGGATTTAGCCACTGAGCCATCGTGCCAGGCTCAGTGCTCTTATATAGTAATACAGGAGAGAGAAATTTGTTGACACCATTTTCATATGTCTGTTACTGGGATCTGGATATACCATGTAAGCAAATCTACATTCTGCACTTTCCCCACAGAGTTTAACATGTTTGCCCATAAGTAGTTAACCACTCCAAAATTCAGCATAGTATTCAATTTTTTAGAGAATGCTAAATATCCCTCCAAAATTTAAAAAATGGCTTTATAAGATTACATTTTGAGTCTTACAAATAAGAAAGGAACACAGCCCTTAACTATTTATCAACTATGAAAAAAATTTTTTAACTCAGCAAGTTTCAGAGAAAGAAATTAGCACCCACGAAGACCCACCTCATTGTAGATTTACCTCATCTCACCGAGACTTCGTCTCACTTCTATTTATCAAGAACTTCTAACAAACGAACTTGACTTTGACAAAGCCTGGTGCTACTGTTGAAATCCAGATAACATTAGTTTTTAATTATGCCTTCTTGATGTGATGGCAGCCAATAACAACGATGTGGATGTCACTGAAAGCAATAGGAGTACGTGAAAGGGAAGGCAGTGGTCATAGAAACCTTAGCAAAACCATCTAGCACACCAACTTAAAGGAAAGGGGCTCGTAACACATAGTCTCAGCAACTTTCACTTCTGGAAGTTTTACCAACATTCTGAAAAGCAATGTTTGAAGATAGTGTTTCATTCAAATGAGATGGGTAAACAGCTCTCATAAAGTTTACCTGCAGACCCATTCGTCTTTTCTCAGATCTTTATGCCCCCACCAGCCGATTCAGGCTGAGCTAGTTCCAGACATGCTTGATTCAGCTACAAATTGGTGGGGTCCTGCTTGCATTCTGTGACTAATTACAGTGAAGGCAGCCTCAGCTTTGTGGCCTCACCTTAACTACTCCACCTCGTAGGAGATTTTTGAGTTCTGGGACCCTCAGATAATGAGATGCTAAGGCCCTCTGCTCCTCTGATTAGACCTGAAAGCCCCTGAGATCTTTACAGTTAGGATTGCTGCCCATGTAAACAATCTACCCTTTCTTGGAACTCTCCTTCTCACCTTGTTCTAGTCCCCTTGGCAAGAATTAAGTGTCTTTACTCAGCAGGCAAGAAAACATAAGGTGTTTTTGCCATTTATTTTTTGACTAAAGACCTTAGAACTGTCCAAAAGCAGAAGGAAAATATCTAAAGCAAGAGAGGGTGTAGTTCTAGACAAACTGTAAACATTAGAATAATTTCCCTGTGCTGAAGAAGACTTTCTTTTCTTGCACAGGGGGTAATCATGCCCAAAGCTTCTGCAAGCTTTAAAATGGAACTGAGTTAATGACACGGCAGGACCTGAATAGAGGGGCTAGCCTGAATTTGCAGGAAGAAAACAAAGCTCCCTTAACCATCACAACCCACAGTGAAGCAGTAACAGCATCTCCAGTGGAACTGGGGAGACAGTGTGGATGGAGGTTCAGTGGCTTCTCTTCATGAAGGAATGGTTCAGGAGCTGGAGGGCAGAAGGCCGCTCATGCTGGTCCCTAGGAAGGAAACAACATCTTAGAAGGAGCATCAAATCACGAAACAGCCCTGAGTTCTGCAAGATCCACTCAAATGCCCACTGTAAAACCGGAAGTACAACCTCTGACAGACATATGGGAATCTAGTGTTGAAGTGTCTTAAGGAAAGAATTCAAACTCTCCTTCACAGTCAAATGGTGACAACAACACTAACCCTCCAGGAAAATTAAATAATAATGTATCAAAAGGCATGGAAACTGGAATTAAAAGATCAAGCAAGGGCAGGTGTTTGGCCAGGCAGTCAAGATGCCAGATGGGACACACATCACACACAGAGTGGATGAGAGTGCCCGGCTTTGGCTCCCAACTCTCCAACGTCCTGCTAATGTGTATCCTGGAGATGTTCTTAGGTCCCTGCCACCTATGTGGGAGACCTAGGTTGATTCCTCAGCTCCCACATCCAGCTAGTATGAGCATTCAGGGAGTGAAACAGTGGTTTCAAATACTAAAATTTGTAATGAGAATTTTCCCATGAACGTTCTAAAAAGTCCCCTCTTACATGTTTTTAAACAGTGGCACCATATTTCGAAATTCAGTAGCTATTGAGAGTCCATAATTGAAAAGACTTTTAAAAGATGTTGAAATATACTTTGGTGATTTACTCCAGTAATTCAGTCTGGGGCACTCCTAGACACACACTGAATAAAGACAGACCAGTCCTAGTACTACTGTAGCTTAGTTTTCTTCTTTAAGAAGTCATGAAGTAGACCCTGAGCCAGACAATGAACTAATGAAGTAGTCAATGGTGAGCTGCAATGCCTAATTCCCAAAACATTCTTTTGGTAAAAATCAGTTATCTTTTCATAACTGTAAAAGCAAATTGACCACTGGATCATTTTTTAGGTGAAAATAGAAATAAAAATGGAAATTACAATTTTTAAATGTTTTTTTTTGCTTTCATTTTTATACATTATTTCTCACCATCAGGAGGTCCCACTTGATTTCAAAAATCCTCTTTTCCACCTGATTGTCATTCTAATTCTAATATTCCATCCAATATCCCAGATACAGTCAAGCTCATTAGTGCTTTTTTTCACCATTTATTACTTCCTAAATTGCTCTCTAGCCAATATTGCTATTAAACAAAATAAGTTCCTCCCTTCCCATCATCTCTGCTGCATTTGGAATAGTTGTTGCTCCCTCCCACCTGTAGCAGTCTCTGCTTAGACCAGTGGGAACTTGTAATCTCAGCTCTTCTCCCATCCTAGAGTAACTCCAGTCCTCCCCCTGTGCCTCGCTCCCTTCTCCAGTTCCATACTACCCCGATGCCATGCACGTTCCATGATCCAACTACACCTTTCAAATCACTTCCTTCAGCTTGGGAAGTTTTTTCACTACTTTAACTATTGATCTCCAATTAATTTTGGGGGGGACGGGGTCACATTTACGGAGAAGGAGTTAGAGAAAGATCTTCTATCTGCTGATTCACTGCCCAATTGGCTACAAAGGCTGGAGCTGAGCCAATCCAAAGCCAGGAGTCTGGAGTTTCTTCTGGGTCTCCCATGCGGGTGCAGCGTCCCAAGGCTTTGGGCTATCCTTGACCACTTTCCCAGCCCACCAGCAGCAAGGAGCTGGATGGGAAGTGGAGCAGCCAGGACGTGAACCAGTGCCTATATGGGATCTTGGCACATGGAAGGCAAGGGCTTTAGCCACTAGGTTACCATTCCAGGCCCCCTCCTACTGATTTTTAAATATGTACTTCCAATTTTAGTTGACTCTCTTCAGCTCCAATTCCATAATTTCAAACATCTCTAGATGAAGGGAGCTATTTTCAAAGTTCTCCCCTTGGGCCTGGCGCGATAGCGTAGCGGTTAAAGTCCTTACCTTGAATGCACCAGGATCCCCTATGCCCGCAAGTTCTAATCCTGGCATCCCTGCTTCCCATCCAACTCCCTGCTTATTGCCTGGGAAAGCAGTCGAGGATGGCCTAAAGCCTTGGGATCCTGCACCCGCGTGGGAGACCCAGAAGAAGCTCCAGGATCCTGGCTTTGGATTGGCTCAGCTCCAGCCGTTGCGGCCGCTTGGGGACTGAACCATTGGATGAAAGATCTTCCTCTCTGTCTCTTCTCCTCTCTGCATATCTGACTTTTCAAATAAAAATAAATAAATCTTTTTTTAAAAAAAGTTTTCCCCTGTTCTTATAACTTTTCAATTATTTTTCCCATCACCCACACTCAGAACCACAAAGTCCTGGCACTCTTCTCCCCTGCCAAGTCAATCCCACTGAATCAACGCAGTCAAAGTCCCAGCTCTGGGTCCCAGCACTGGATGCCTGCCTGGCCTTTTGGCCTCAGCAATAGCCTCTCTGTAACACCTTTCAGCGCATGTTTTCTGCAGGTGACTCTCTACATCAAATCCCTTGTAGCATACCACCCTTCACTCTCTAATTCAGAAAGGCTGAACTTGGTCTGGCTTTCCAGAATTTTCAGCCTACCAGTAGCAGGACCTGCAATTGTACTTATTTCTCATTGCTTCCACAAGTGCATTTGTCTTCTGGGCAAGCCTTGCTCCTGGAATGTTCATAATGACCTCTAGGAATCTTAGGAATGCCCCAGACTATAGTTTCTGTCCATCCACACGCCCCACGGCCCACTGTTACCACATCATGTGAGTTGCTGGAGCCCTTAGGATCTTTGCCACAGAGTTTCAGGAGGTAATTGTTTGCATATGACACAAATTAGTTAAAGGGTGTTAGTTTTCTCCCTACGGAGTCCTGTGTGCCCCATACTGTGCTAAGCTGTTTATATATATGGTTTGACTTAACTTTCACATCAATCCTGTTATTAATTATGTGGGTTTTGTATTGCTTAGTTTATGAAGAATGGTTCAAAAGGAAAGCAAAAAAATAAGCACTGTTTTTTGTTTGTTTGTTTTTGTCTAAGATTTAGTTATTTTTGTTGGAAAGGTAGTTTACAGAAAGACGCAGAAAGATCATTCATCTGCTGTTTCACTCCCCAAATGGCCACAAAGGCTGGAACTGACCCGATCTGAAGCCAGGAGTCAGGAGTCTCCTCAGAGTCTCCCATGTGGATGCAGGTCCCAAGCACCTGGGGCATCCTCTGCTACTTCCATAGGCCATAATCAGGGAGCTGGAGGAGAAGTGGAGCAGCCAGGACATGAACTGGCGCTCATATGGGATGCTGGCGCTTGCAGGTGAAGATTAGCCTACTGAACCATTGCACCAGGCCCCAAATTCCACTCTATGTAAAGCTTTCTGTGGGTGTATGTGTGAGAGTGTAACAGAAACTTGACGGAAAATGAGAATAGCTAGCAAGTGATTTTTAAAAACAGATTTATTTTTATTGGAAAGAGAGGAGAGAGGAGATCTTCCATCCATTGATTCACTCCCCAAGTGGCCACAATGACCAGAGCTGAGCCAATCCAAAGCCAGGTTCCTGAAGCCTCTTCAGGGTCTCCCATGCAGGTGCAGGATCCCAAGGCTTTGGGCCACTCTTCACTGCTTTCCTAGGTCACAAGCAGGGATCTAGATGGAAGTGGGGCCTGCCAGGATTAGAACCAGTGCCCATATGGGATCCTGGTGCGTTAAAAGCAAGGACTTTAGCCACTAGGCTACCGTGCCGGGTCCAGCAAGTGCTTTCTAATTGTGAGTCTATAATAACTATTAGAGTCAGAATAAGGCATCTACAGTAGCTGTACAAGCTTTATGATTAGCCTTCAAGGCTGGCACTTTGGCACAACTAATTAAGCTGCTGACTGTGATGCTGACATCCCATACAGTCTCAATACCAGCTGCTCTGCTTGCAGTTCAGCTTCTTGCTAACACCTGGGCACCAGGCACCTACAGGCAAAACCTGGATGGAGTTCCAGGCTCCTGGCTTCGACCTGGTCCTAATTGTTGGGGCTACTTAGGGAGTGAAATAATATACAGAAGACCTCTCTCTCTCCCTGTATCTGCCTTTCAAATAAATAAAAACATTTTAAGAAAAAAAAATATTAACCTTCAAATCTAGAGCTGATCCGTGCGATATTCGTAACACCACACTATCCCTCCTGCGGAGTTTTTATTGTGGGGTTAGACAGCTCCAAAGCTCTGTCCTCAAAATCCACACTGGAACAAGGGAAGCTTCTGCATCCAGTGACGTCCAGAGCTGCATGCCTAGAGCAAGCGCTGCTGCTCTCACTCACAGGGCCTTGCCAGGACAGGCTCCCAGGTGAGGGCAGGGAGGGGGCTCGACACGGGAGAGGCACATCCTTGAGCACACCGGAAGCCTGTGGATTTCCAGCATCATTCAGAAAGGGGAAAGGAATCTCCTGTGAGTTTGGAGTGGCCCTAGGTGTTTAATAAAAGCTCCACGCTGGGGTTTTCACCCAGGGATAAGAAAGCACACTTCCTTGAAAGACAGAAAATTAAGGTTGAGCCTCAGGCGTGCTGTTCTGTAACCAGATATTGAGCCTCGCTGGGTTGGTAGGATCATTTTGTTTTTCATCTTCTTATAGGGACCAGAAACCCCAACCCAACTCTCCAGGTCTCCCCCATTACACACACACACACACACACACACACACACACACACCCCTGAACCAAAACTCTCTCTCTCTCTCTCTAGATTTTTGACACTCTATTCTCTTCGTTTATATTTTAAATAATCAGAGGAGGCTTGACCCAAAGTTTGAAAACCGGAGCACTAGTTCATCCCTGCTCACTTACCAGTTTAACATTTTAACCAGAATTTTATTCCATAGAGAGGAGAAAGGAAAGGGCAAAGCAGGAAGGCTTGTGTGTTTTTAAGGGCTTTTCTGCTTCTCCTAACACTCCTCAACTTGATGTTTGAAACATTCCAAGTGAAAGTTTGGCTCAAGCTGGTTTTCTCATTTTAAGCGCAAAGTGATGTTATTTCACCAGAACCAGTCCATAGGAAGGCACGGGCCAGTGGTGATTATGTAATTATTTAGCAAATCGGCAAGCCCATTGATCTGGGGAGGTGTTGTCAGGAGTTGATCAGACGGAAGTGCTGTCTGCTTAAAGCACTGCTCCCTATACCCAGCTACAACGATGGGCACAATCACCGCATATAACTGTTAATGAACATCTCACCACCAAACTGCTCCACCTCGACCTCCTTATCAAGGCAGAGTTCTTACTGGGCCCTCAATTGCAAGAGGAATGTCAGCTCTTTGTAATCGCTGGGCATTCACCCTCCCCTTCCTGCTTCCAATTTCTCACCTGGTCAGGCACACGCGCACGAAGTCAGCTGCATTTTCTGAGCAGTGTGCAGGCAGAGAAGGCATCAGCCCTCGGTGAGCTCCGATGTAGAACATGGCTGCCATCCTGTCCATGGACGCCAGCGGTGGCTTTCCTGTGGCCATCTCAAACACAGTGCACCCGATGCTCCAGATGTCGGACTTCCTGCCATAGCCAGACTCACTGATGACTTCTGGGGCCATCCAGTATGGAGTACCATGCATAGACTTCAACATGTCACTATGGGTGCCATTCAAGCCTGCCCAAGCCAAACGCTTGGCACAGCCAAAGTCAATCAGCTTTATGATTCCAGTTGGCATGAGCATGACATTGTTCCCTTTGATATCTCGATGTACCACACAGTTCTCATGGAGATAAGCAACGCCTTGCAGAATTTGCTTCGTATACTTACAGAACACTATTTCTGGCAGCGGCCCAAACCGGTTTATAATACTGGCGATTGAGCCACCAGGAACAAACTCCATGAAAATGCTTACAGTGTTTTCTTCCAAGCATGTCCCCAAGTAGGCCACAATATTGACGTGTTTCAGTGCTTTGAGAAGATCTACTTCTTCCTGAAGTTTCCGGTATTCTTTTTCAGTAGCTAACTTGTCAGAGGTATCCAGAGCCACCTGTTTCACAGCTATTAGCTGCCCTTGGCTCGTGAGACCACAGTACACCTAGAAACACAGCCAGATCTCATTAAATTCACATAATGTAACTGGTTCACACAATGTCTTGTGTGACACTTGACTCTCCCTTCTTTTCCCACATCCTTGTCTTGTCAAAGTTGATGCATCCCCATAAAAATGCAGAATATTTAAGCAACTACAGTACTTCAGCAGGAGATGGAGATGAGTGGCCTGGGGGACTGATGCCACGTAGGCTTGGAGTCACATGCTTTGGGTTGGTTAGAATCTTGGCATCCCCATTGACAGCTACATGACTTGTCTTAAGTTGTATAGCCCACATGACTTCAGCTTTTCCTATCTGTTCAGCTGAGGTCACAATTTTTCACTCGTGGATTTCTCTAACAGCTGTATGAGATTGAGAAAGATCCTCACAGAGCAAAAGAAATTTGGCTAGTTCAGCCTTAAAGCTTTCCGGAGAAGGAAGGAAGCAGGTGGTGACAGTCACCCTTCTAATACGATCTCAGTGATTCTGGTCTTCCTACATTCTCACTGATTCCTGGACTATCTACAGTTAGAGAGATTGTACAGGTGTTCTTCGGAGGACAATCTGTTGTTTACATTATGCAAATACCAGCCAAAGTGCTAGATTTTAGGTGGTCTCACATCCAATTCACAAAATGTAAGGAACATCTCTTGCTTTGGATACCCAGTAATGACTCTTACAACTTCCAAAGACATATTGAGCTGTTGAAGGGAGAAATATTTTTCCCATTGGACCTGAACCTGAGAGAGTAAGAGGTTAAACATGCAATGGCCATTATACCGTCATATGAAGCCTGAGAATGAGGCTAAATAAAAAATAAAACCTGAGTCTTATGACATAGTTTGGCCTATGAAAATATTTTTATAGAAAAACAAAACTACTGTAGACTTTTCCATTGCATAAGACAGTAAACATGTTTCTTGCAAGCTGGTTTGAATTGGGTTTTCTCTTTCAACTGAAAGGTTGCTAAGTACAAGAGTGTGGGCACATGGGCATGCATTCCTCTCAAATATGTAAACAATATTAAAAATAAAATAAAATAAAAATAGAGTGTGGGCAGAAGGGAAGTGAAGAGCAGGGTGAGGGAACAGGGAGGGACTGAGGAAGAGAAGGGAGTTCTGACTTCAAGTTTACAGTTTATGTTTGAGGAGGACCCTTGGAGCGCGCCTCCTGTTGGGGATCGGGATGGGTGGGAGGTTGGGTGGGGCTTTTCCCTTTGTTACTCCCCTAACCCCAGATACAGGGGAAAATGATAATATTAGCGTGGAAACAATGGTATTACCTGCTTTCACCCTGTAGCCCTTGACCCTTTGTACCCTAATCAACTAAGATTATTAAAATAAAATTTTAAAAATGTTTGCAGTTTAACTTACTGTGCCATAGGCTCCCTTCCCAAGGATTTCACCCTTGGTCCACAGGATAGAGTCTTCATTCTTTAAACTAGTCTCAGAAAATGTCTTCTTTTCATTTGCACTGAGAAATTGCTCCTCCCCGTCAAGTATCCTGAACCCATTATTATACCTCTGTAAGAATGAGATGAAGATCCTTATTAAACTCCAAGTTACTGGGAGGTAGAGAAGGAAGAGAAAGTAGGGTCTTCCAGTAAACCAGTGAATACAAGACTTTTCTCTGTCATTCTACTTGTCAAATAATTTTTTTTTTGTAGAGTCCTCCTTCTAAGCCTCTCCATGGACATTCTCACCATTCATGTATAACTTTCTGAGACAAAGATTTCCTTAAAAATGACCATGTGGGAGCAGGTGTTTGGCCTAGAAGTTAGAATGCATATATCCCTGTCAGAGTGCCTTGGTTTGATACACAGCTTTACCCCTGATTCCAGCTTCCTGATAGTACAGAAACCTGGTGTCAGCGGGGATAGTTCAAGCAAACAGATTCCGGTTAACTAAACAGAAGACCTAAACTGATTTCTGGGCTTCTGGTTTTATCCCAGCTAAGAGAACAATGTGGACAGAGCAAACCAGCAGATGAAAGCTCAGTCTCTCCCCTAAATAACTTTTTAAAAAACATTAACTATGTAATATATTAGTTGTTATTGTGTCCCTTCATTCCTTCTTCCTTTCTTCTCTCCTTCCTTCATACCTTCCTTCCTTCTGTCCTTATTTCCTTCCTTCCTATACATTTACTTGTAAGGCAAAGGTACATAGAGAGGGAAAAAAAAAAACAAAAACAAAAAAACAGAGAGAGGGAGCCCTTCCATCTGTTGGTTCACTCCTAAAATGACCACAATGGCCAAAGCTGGGCCAGGCTGAAGCCAGGAATCTCAGAACTCCTTCCAGGTCTCCCAAGTGGGTGGCAGGTACCCAAGTACTCAGACAATCCTCTACTGCCTCCCCACATGCATTAGCAGGGAACTAGACTCAAACTGGTGCTCACGGAATACCAATGTGGCAGGCCATGACTTCACTCACTGTGCCACCATGTTGGATCCTGCTCATACACATTTCTAAAGCACATTTTGCCTTTTGTATTTTATAGGTAAAAGCCATAGGTCTATTCATCTCTTGACCCACATAGCCCTGCAAGCTTGCGGCTTTTGAGGATGACCTCCACAGGTCCCTATAATGCAAGATTATGGTAGTATGTGCTGTCTTCCAGGTCCCCACCCTCAACTTTGTCTTCAGGATCCCCATCACCATGTCTAACCTGCTCCTAAAAAGATGAGAGAAACATAGGACCCGGCATGGTAGCCTAGTGACTAAAGTCCTTGCCTTGCATGCGCTAGGATCCTATATGGGCACTGGTTCATGTCTCAGCTGCTCCACTTCCCTTCCAGCTCCCTGCTGGTGGGCTGGGAAAGCATAGAGGATGGTCCAAAGTCTTGGGACCCTGCACCCAACTGGGAAACCTGGAAGAAGCTCATGGCTTCTGGCTCCTGGCTTCGGGCCAGCTCAGTTCCAGCTGTTGCAGTCACTTGGGGAGTGCGCTGAAAGATGCAAGATCTCTTTCTTTCTCCCTGTAAATCTTCATTTCCAATAAAAAAATAAATAAATCTTTTTTGAAAAAAGGAAGAGAAGCATACAAATTCCTGACCACACAACAGAAATATTCATAATCATAAACATGTCCATATTTTTATAAGTGTACATACTTCTAAATTTAAATGCTGCATAATCCATCAACATGCATGCACACATAGATATCACACATGCTCATCCATAGAGGTACTGAGAGATAATATACAACCCAACAATGGCCACCCCACAAATAAAATACCCTTCTGACCTAGAGTTGTAGGAACCAACCCAGCAAAGCAAGCGTTAGCCACAGTCACCAGCACAGGGAGCCAGGGTGCCAGATGCAGTCAGACTTGAAGGAAGTTAGACCACTGACTCACAGCCTCCCTTGTGATGTCCAGTCCTAAGCAGTTGTGAGTTGATTAATACTAGCTTTTCTAATTATACTTACCATTTCAAACTTAGGAACAGTTAGACAAAGTCAAGCATGACCTCTAGCAGATTACACAGTTCACCCTACTACTGCTTCCCTAAGCCAACAGCCTCCAGTGAAGATTTCCCACCTGTCAGCTGTAAAGTTCTCCGACTCCTCTGCCTGTCTGAGTCTCTCTCAATGGAAGTGATGGTGGCTGACTCCCTGAGTTGATAACTGTTGTCTGTTCTTTCTCTCCACAACACACACATATCCTCAGGCACAACGAATCTCCAGAAGCATATACACATACATAAACTTACATACACAAACATGTACCGCAGTCTCTGTCACACACATATACACAGACTACACTGGTCAAGGCCAGCCCAACAGGTTAAGGAAGACACTTGCTGCTACCCCAAGGAGAATCCCCAGGCCAACTGCCTAAGCCCTATGTGGGAGCTTGTGTATCCTGCGAAATATCCACCCTAGACACACTGAGTCAATGTGTATATTATAACAGGATCCCCCAAAATTCACATTATAAATAAATACTACTTTTCCGATTGGCTTACCAGGGCTAAAATGGGCTTTTTTTTTTTCTTCAAAGATTTATTTACTTTTATTGGAAAGACAGACCTACAGAAAAAAAAAGAGACAGAAAGAGAAAGATCGTCCATCTACTGGTTCACTCCTCAAATGACTGCAACAGCCAAAGTTGAGCCAGTACAAAGCCAGGAGCTTCTTACAGGTCTCTCACATGGGCGCAGGGTTCCAAGAAATTGAGTCATCCCCAGCTGATTTCCCAGGCAATAATTAGAGAGCTGGATGGGAAGTGGAGCAGCCGGCACATGAACCAGCACCCACATGGGATGCTTGCATTTGTACGTGGAGTAGTCACCTGTTGAACCATTGTGGCGGCCCCAAAGTGCTCTGTTTTGATCTTTACTGGTACAGTGGGTGGAAGATTCTCTCTCTGTCTCTCTCTCTCTGTTTCTCTATCTCTTCCTCCCTCTCTGCCTTTCTCTGTTTTTCCCTCCCTCTCTGTCACTCTTTTCCTTCACAGAGGTAAGTAAATTATCATGAGGATTCAGAGACATGGGAGGGCACTTTGGAAACCGGAGATCCTGCAGGTGTGCCCTTCTCAAGAATGTCCCCCTGCCTCCAAAGCTCAAGCTAGGTTTCTCCTACTTACTCTGCTACATTTATCTAAACTAATGCCTAAGGACTGCTTGGCAGAGAAATGACCACAAAAGGTCAGACTTTTGACTCAGCGATTGCAGTGGCATTAGGAGCTGATTCTGTCTTCTGGCATGTTGATTGCTTCTCCAGTTTGAAATGGTGAAACGCTAGGCTCATCTCTGACAACACGGTGTGCACACACATATCCCCATTTCCCAAAAAACTGCCTCCCTCCTAGCAGAGACCAAGTTTACCCAGAGATTGGAGTTGGCCTATTAGGATAAGGAATATTTCCACTGCATGTTGCTTAAAAGCTGAATTCAATTGCTGCATGACTTGCTGGGCCTTAACTTCTCCATCCATAAAATGGGGATGTATTTGCACCTTTAGTACTTGTAGGGATATTTTGATGTCAGAAATACAATATACATCCTAAATGCTAAGTTCTTAGCAAACCCAGCTACCCCCTCCCAAATGCTGAAAAAAACTATGTTCATCCTACCCCTATCATGCTGACACTGCATTCGTGTTCAATTCATAACACTTCAATTTGACCTACCATTTTTGTCTTTAAAACTTGGTCACAGGAAGCTCATGAATTTAAGGGGAAAGTAAAACAGACAGAACTCAAATCTGTTGATATTCTTCTCTCCCATCCACATCCATGTAAAACAAAAATATAACATTTTCCTCCCTAAAATTTTTGCTGAATCTTTCTTGAGAGTTGTGTTCTGTGTACTACTATGTCTTCTGTTAGCCCAGACACAGAACCCCAGGAGGCTGTACTCATGTTTTTGTGTCAAAGTCATGAAACAGCTGAGAAAAAATACCCATGTGCCCTGAATCTTTGAGAAATGTACATTTCAAGTCTTCATATGCACGTTTTGTTCATATGACAGGGTCTACATTTGCTTCTGCCTGCCTCACATACTTAACCTACAGCAAAGCTTTGCCTATAATTCTCTTTCAGCTGATAACTGAAACAGTATCTGCTATTGACTGGAAATGTTGTCACTGAATAAAATCCTGACCTATTGAAACAGGTTGCTCTCTACGGACCTGCAACCTTTTTCTTTAACACAATTTTGGGTTTTGGTTTAGTGTTATATGATCTTAATTTATTGTGATTACATTGCAATGCCTACTTCAGCTAAGTTCCTGAAATCAGACAACATAACAAAAATATCTTGACCTGCAAACCAGGGGACATGGATGACAATCCTATGACCAAACACCGTCGCTTGGCCAACACTCTGTGTGTAAGATTAATGATTTCCCATTTGCAAATAAGTGACCTGAACCAAACTGTCTCTGGGGTCCTTTCCACCCTGCTTCTAATTATACCAACCTGCATCTTGACATTTGTTGTGTTTGTGCCCAGTCCCTTCGTACTACATCCTCTCCTACTGAGGACATGGTCTGAGTTTTCAGGATCTGCTTCGTTCGCCATTATTTGGCAAGAGCTGTTATCTTTCTCATCAAGTGCTAACAGTTCTGCCACTAGGCAGCCTAAGAGCTCATCAGTCAATTCTTCCTTCTTTACGGAGTCCAGCCTTTCTTGGGAAACTAAATTTTTTCCGAGTGTTTGATATGTGATTGACCTATCTGCAAAACTATCATGATCCACTGAACGTGTCCTGTGCTGATATGTTGGGGAAGAGGTCCTTTCCTGTTTCTCTTGGAAAGGGAAACTCATGAACATTTTAGACACATCTGAAAAGCTATCAGACTCCAAGTTGTTAGTGAACCTTGGACTGGCATTTAGGCTATCAAGAGATGCTGTATCTTGCTTTTCTTGCAATATATGCTTGTCAGAACTCTTCTCTCTGGGCAGTGCCCAGCTGTTTTCTGAAGGGACACACGAGGTCTGACAGTACAGCCCTTCCAGTTCTTGTAGATCTCTAAGGCTCATGGTGAGTATCTGAGTGCTAGAAACACTTCCATTAGCAGACTCTTCTATGGACACTCCTTCAACAGGAAGGGACTCGTCCCGTTCAGTAGACGTCTCAGGAGACTGAACCAAGTCCATGGGCTGAACTTCATCTTTTGTGACTATAAAGCCATTTTCTGAAGACTTTGTCTGTTGACCTGGCTCTGAAATACCAGCACCATCCTCAGTATCTTGCAGTTTGCTCTCTACAGACCTGCAGCCTTTTTCTTTAACACTTACAACTTTGGGTTTTGGTTTAATGCCAAGAGCAGCCTTTGGGGGTTTGATATGTAGTCTTTTCTGGGGAAGTCTTGTTCTGCCATTGCTGTTCCTTTCATTGTGTGAAGATCGGCATTTGTTGGTGACAGATCCACCAGATGGAGCTGAGCAAATCTCACGGCAATATCGGTTTGTATGCCGGACAGCTTCTCTCATGTGACAGTAAACAGGGGTCCCAAACATTTCATAGATTCCTGGTCCATTAGCAGCTGAGTTGATTTCTTTGAACATGTCACTATATTTGAGATCTAGATAACTCAATCTCTGTTCAGTTGGTTGAACAGAGAGAGGAGTATGTGATTTTTTTATCCCTGAATTTTTACAGATGCAAGGAAATGATGGCTTTTTAGGTTTCTGAATCCAGTAAACTGATGACTTCTTTTCCACCTGTGGCATAATCCTTTGAAACTTGGGCTGTTGCCGAGGCCTGGCATCAACTAGTCTCAAAGCAGGGAAAACCTGAGTTTTTATGCTGGCTTGATGCGTAGTAGGCTTATTCAACCCTTCAATGGAGATCATGAAGTTCTGAGGTGTCTTGTTACTTGTCTTCGTCTGGGAATCCAACTTATTCTTGTGAGTATTCAACTTACGCTTGTCATTCTCTGGGTGTGCAAGACAAGCATGGCTACTGCTCTGAATGGTGCTCTTTCTTTTTTGGAGACTAGGTTTGGCTACATCGGGTTCCTTGGGGGTTCTATCTCCTGGGAAAGTGATCTGGGCAAGAGGGACCATTGCATTTGTTGCTGGCTTGGTTTCTTCTGATATCAATGTTTTTACGGGTGTCTCCACGTCATCATGATCTCCCAGGAGTTTCCCAGAGGGACCATCAGAGTCTACATGGGTCAAGCTTTCAGATACAGTAAGCTCCTGTAAGATATTGTTGGATTCCATTCCTTCACTCGTACAAAATGAAATGTTCTTTGAATCAGATTTTCCATTTCTAATGTTTTCACTGGGGTTTGTAGTTATTCTTGAATGCTGGGCTTCTGGGAGATTAGTTGGAATGGGACACACAATTTCTAAATCCTGCTTGTAGTTTCTGACTCCTGAACCCTCTTTCCTTCCTGATGAAATGGATAGAGAATTCTCTTCTGCTTTCCTCATTTCTCTACCGTGGTCATCACTCTTCACTGCTGTATCTGCAGGAATATTGTCTTCCTTACATTTCTCAAAGGCCACCAGAGAATGCCCCTTTTCAAAGTGAGAGATTCCCATTTTGTCCCATCCTTCTCCTTCCTTGACTTGCCTGTTCACCTCCCCCTCCGGATATTGTCTTAGATGGTCAGCCTTGCGGAATGAGCACATATTTCTTGACCAAATGGAGCTGTCCGATGACCTGAGAGTTTGATCCACCAGCATCTTCCCTGGGTCTTCCTGTTGCGTGCTGGATGGACTAAACTCATTAGATTGACTTCCAGGCTTGGAGAGCTTAGGTACAAAGGATGTTTGACTTGAAATATTTCTTTCTCTCTCCTTTGGAAACTTGTGATTTGGGGGAATGGTCAAGATACCAGATCTCATGGGCTGCAGTGATAGTGGTGGCAGAGGGAACTGAAAGGAAAGAAAATATAGGCAATGAAAGAAGAAATATGTGCATGTCATTAAAGTTGCTTGAATATAGTTTAATTTTCCCCTAGAAGTATCTTAAATAAAGTATAAAGTTTTCTTGGGGAACATAATTTGAAAACTAAAATCTCACTCTCAGGAGATTTTTAGAACCAAAAAAAGATAATGCATTTAAAACACAAGATAATTATAAATATAAAAATTTATGGCTATGTATTTGTGAGTGAAGGATATACAGAAATTAAAAACTCAAGAACCATTTTGTTTCTTTTCTGTTTTAACTTTCCATAGAATTAAGACACTTTTAAGAAGTTAAATTTATTTGTGGGACAGAGAAAGAGGCAGACACAGAGGAGACTGCCACCTGCTGATTTACTACCCAAATATCTGCCTCAGCTGGGGGTGGGCAGAGGTGAGAGTTAGAAGGGAGAAACACAACCCAGGTCTCCCCCACGGAGCTTAAGAACCTAATCACTTGGGTCATTGCCACTACCATCCCAGTGGCAAGAAGCTGAGATGAAGAGTCAGAGCCAGAGCTTGAACCCAAGCATTTTCACGTAGGTGCCTTAACCATTAGGCTAAATGACTGTTCCCTGATGTAAGATTTTTTTTTTTTTTTTAGGGATTGGCACGGTAGTGTGCCAAACTAATCCTCAGCCCTGTGCTGCCAGCATCCCATATGGGCACCAGTTCATATCCCGGTGGCTCCACTTTCTGAGAAAGCAGCAGAGGATGGCCCAAGTCCTTGGGACCCTAATACCCTCTCAGGAGACCTGGAAGAAGCTCCTAGCTCCCAACTACAGATTATTCAGATCTGGCCATTGCAGCAACTTGCAAAGTAAGCTAGCAGATGGAAAACCTCTTTCTCTCTCCTTTCAGTAAAATCTGCCTTTTCAATAAAAACAAATAAATCTTAAAAAAAAAAAAAACATTTTTGAAAGCTCCCTAGGAACAGTTTAAAACTGGTCTTAGCAATGTTCATTGGATGATTTATTAGTGAGAAATTTGTACTGGAACACAGCTACTCATCCCTATGTGTCGACTGTGAAGAATGGCTCCCACACTTGAAAATTAGCAATCCGGGTTGGCTTTGCATTTTTCGTTGCCTTCAACTGCTATCAAACTAAGACAGTTTTTATTATCACCAACCTCTAGAGGTCAGTGTAACTCAATGTATAAAATTCAACTTCACAGGCATTAAGCTATAAACTCCTGTTTACAATTTAATCACAATACATGGAGAGATTCACAAAGTTCATGAATATGCACATAATGAGAAAGTTATGCATGAGTCCTAAATAGATTTCTGCATCAAAATAAGCTTGTCTTTGGAATCCATTTTCTCACAAATGTTGAGGTACACTCACATTTACAGGGCACGAGTCTATATGTTCAGTTTTCAATCTCATGCCAAGTGTAAGGCAGAAGGCAGAGGAACCTGGCCCTAGAACCTCAAACATTAGAAGATGCAACGTGATGTAGTCAATGGTCTTTTGGATATTTATAACATCTTTTGGGAGCAGGCAAGTTTATCAACTTTTACCATGTTACAGATTTATTGAATTTCGAGTCATGCCTGCGGTTGCCTACACTAAATGATTTTATAGGCCTTACACAGCCCATGGGCTGAATGTTCCCCACACATAGACATTTGCCATTTCTCAAAAATGAATTAAGAGATAAAAGCAGATTCCTTTGGTTCTTAAACACTTCCCTAGTAACACACAGTAAATTTTCTAAAGGTCAACAAATTTCTTTTTGTAACACCTAGCAGCACCTATACATCAATATTTTTTCCCCAAGGGTGATGGGATACAGATGACTGAGAAAACTGAAGGACTACCATAGCTTTCTAAAAGCTTTATTTGTCGAGTGGAAAACAAATCTTTCCACTACTGAAAAAAAAATTGCCTAATTTCAAGGTAGGTTGAAAAAAAAAAAAAAAAAGCAACTGACAATGGGTCCGTGAGAGCTACTCATCTTATTATGAACAGAATGGGAAACACCACAAAACAGCCAGGCCCACAAAAACCCATCATCCCCCAGGAGTGACTGACTACTCTAGAAAGCTTTTGTAAGATGTTATTTTTGCTGAGATGAAATTTCTGGGGACTTGCATCTGAACTGTTTGGTGAAGTTTATCTTTAACAAGAAAGGTTCTTTGATTTTAGTTCTTAAGTCAAAAATACAAAAACGAATCTTACCTCCATTCGGCTACTTTGCTTTGTGTAAGATGTAGAAAATTCTACAAGAGAAACACACGATAATTGGGTATTTGGGGTCGTAAAGAGAACATAGTCTTAAACCAGAGTTTGTAGATAGAATCATCAAAATGTTAAGGTTGGAGGAAAAGTTGTAGAAACTAAAAGAGTTTTGTTTTGTTTTGTTTTGTTTCCCCCTGTGGAATCCACTTGGAGGCAAGCATGGGATGGTTACACAAAACTTTCAGCTGTGCCACTAGGAAGGCTTGTCTTATACAATAATTCCATTAACAGTAGTTTCAAAATCTGAAAATACTAAGTTGAAAATCCCAGAAATAAATAAGTTTCAAATCGCATAACCTTGCAAGTAGTGTGATGAAGTCTCACTTCATCTGGCTCTGTCTTGCCCGGGGTCGGGAACCCTCCCTGTGTCCAGTGTATTTGCACAAAGCATGCCTCCCACCTGCTCCCATCTGCAAGCCCTCTCATCTATCAGGTAACCCGTCAGGGAGATGCAGCATCACAGCACTTGTGTTCAAGCAACACTCAGGAAGTACCTAAAGAATCAGGTCATGATCCCTGCATCCTCCTCCTTCTCACTTCATCTCATCACCGAGGTGTTACATCATCTCTTATCCTCACAATAAGCCAGGTGAGCAAGGTAGAAAAAAATCTTTTGAGAGAGGACAGTCTCATGAACTTTTATGCAGCATGCTATTATTATTATTACTGCTCTATTATTAGTTATCATTATTAGTCTCTTATTGTGCCTGATTATAAATTTACATATTTACGTTATATATTTATTTTTATTGAAAAGGCAGATTTACAGAGAGGAGAGACAGAAAGATCCTCCATCTGCTGGTTCACTCTCCAAGCAGTCGCAACAACTGGAGCTGAGCTGATCTGAAGCCAGAAATTCAGGAGCTTCTTCCAGGTCTCCCATTCAGGGGCAGAGTCCCAAAGTTTAGGGCAATCCATCCTCGACTGCTTTCCTAGGTCACAAGTAGGGAGCTGGATGGGAAGTGGAGCAGACAGGACACAAATTGGCACTCATATGGGATTCCGGTGCATGCAAGCCAGGGACTTAGCCACTGAGTCAGTGCGCCAGGACCCCGACTATTCAGAGAGCATCCCAATAGTGGCTCCCTGCACCTGGTTTCTCATAGGTAATGACAGCCAGAGTGTACCTGCCCATAACACAAGGAAGAATCCTGAAATGATGAGACTGAGGTGGTACAGAGGGTGGCTGGGCCAATCTTTCGCATAAAAAAATGAAGATCTCAACTATGATGTCAGCAGATGTCTTGAGGATTTCCAAAGCTGTTTCTAGGTTTTGTTAGCTCAGGATGAAAGCAAACAACCGCTGGGGAGTTCAGCCTCTGGTTGCCAAGTCCATGACCTCCAACTACGTGTTGACCAGCCAGCTCTTTCACCCTCAGTTCTTAGTACTTTTGTTTGGAAAGCTTGGACTGTACAGAAATATGAAAACATTCATGTTTAATTACCTCTAAACAGCTGTCTGAATTACATGGGTCATAAATTCTGAAAAGGGGAATGAAGTGGCTGGTGTTCTGTCACGATGTCAGCATCCCATATGAATACTAGTTCAAGTGCTAGCTGCTCCATTTCCAATCCAGCTCCCTGCTAATGTCCCTGAGTAAGCAGTGGAAGACAGCCCAAGTGCTGAGTTCCTTGCACTTGTTTGGGAGACATGGTGAAGCTCCTGACCCCTGACTTCACAGCCCTACCCATTATGGCAGTTGAGGCATACAACAGCAAGTGGCAAGTGGAAAAACTTTCAAGTGTTGGTTAGAAAAGATGCAGGATGAAGAGTACTCTGAAAGATTTCCAGCAGGAATATAGAGGAAGGATCTCTCTGGTAGTTAACAGCATGGGTCAAAAGCCTTTTAAAATATCACAGAGTGCAGAAGGTGTTTGGCCTAGCATTTAAGAATCTGTTTGGTGTCTCTGTATCCCATATCACAGCATCCAGGTTTGAGTCCCAGCTCCACCACCCCATTCCAGGCTCCTGCTAATGGGCACCCTGGGAAACAGTAAGTATTGATGGAAACAGTTGGGTGTCTTCCCAACAACATGGAAGATCTGGATTGAGTTCTTAGCTTCCAGCTTCACCCTGACCTAGCTGGGAGCCAAGAGCTTCCTCTGGGCCTCCCATATGGGTGCAAGGGCCCAAGGACTTGACTCATCCCATGCTAATTTCCCAAGTCATCAATAGAGAGATGGTTAACAAACAGAGCAGCCAGGAAGCAAGCCAGTGCCCTTATGAAATGCCAGTGCCACAGGGTTGAGGATTAGCCTGTTAAGCCACTGCGCCAACCCCTGATAGTAATCTTTTACTCACAGCTGAACACCTTTACAAATGAACCAAATGGGGCCCAATGGCGTGGCCTAGCAGCTGAAGTCCTCGCCTTGAACACACCAGGATCCCATATGGGCGCCGGTTCTAATCCCGGCAACTCCACTTCCCATCCAGCTCCTTGCTTGTGGCCTGGAAAAGCAGTCAAGGATGGCCCAAAGCTTTGGGACCCTGCACCTGTGTGGGAGACCCGGAAGAAATTCCTGGCTCTTGGGTTTGGATCGGCATAGCATCAGCCGTTGTGCTCACTTGGGGAGTGAATCCATTGGATGGAAGATCTTCCTCTCTGTCTCTCCTCTTCTCTGTATCTCTGACTTTCCAAATAAAAATAAATAAATCTTAAAAAAAAAAATGAACCGAATGTCTTCCCTTCACAAGACCAACTTTGTAGATATTTGAGGAACAAGACCTTGGACATTTAGTTCTGCAGTTAAGATACCCCTGGCACATTGCATCCCATGTTAGAATTCCTGGATTTGAGTGCTAATACCACTTCCAAATCCAGTTTTCTACTCATATAGATTCCAGGAGACAGAAACTGGTGGCTCAAGTGCCTTGGTCTTTATTACTTATATGGGAAACCAGATTGGTTGCTGGGCTCCTGTTTTCAGCCTGTCCCAACTCCTGCTGTTGTGGGCATTTGGGCATCAAACCAGCGTGTAATAGATCTCTCCCTTTCTTCCATCTTCTCTCCCTTTCAAATAAAAAATTTTAAGTAAATAAATAAAGTTTTAAAAAAAAGCCTTGGGTCCACTTCAGAGTTCACACCTGATTCTCACCCCTTTTATACCTATTAAGTCTATTATGCTTCAACAACATGTTATGAGAAATAAACTAGATATAAGAAGAGACATCCTACACGATTCCATTTATATGAAAGATCTAGAATAGGCAAATCCATTCTGAGAGCGACAATAGAACTGGGGTTGCCAAAGTTCTGGGGGGGGCAGTGACAATAGGGAATTACTGTTTCCTAGGCAAGGTTTAAGTTGAAGAGAGTGGTGATGGTTGCACAATGCTGTTATGAACTTAGTGTCATGGAATGACAAACTTAAAAATGAATAAAATGGTAAATTTGATATATGTACATTTTACCATGCTTAAACATTTTAAAGCACTGTTGTGTTCAAATTTCATGTGAGCATGGGCATTCAGCCTTGCAATTAAGAAGCCCATGTCCTACATTAGAGTGCCTGGGTTCAGTTTCCTGGGCGCAGCTAATGACTGCAGCTTCTTTCTTAGATAGATGCTAGGAGGTAGCCAATGATGGCTTAAGTGGCTGGGTTCCTGATACCCAAGTAGGAGAACTGACTTCAGTTCCCAGGTTCTGGCTACTGCCCTAGTCAACATTCACTGTGGGCATTTGCGGAGTAAACTGACAGGTGGGAGGTCTCTATTTTTCTATCTCTGTGTCTCAAATACATCATTTCCCCCTGTTTGTTTAATCTTGCAATGTACAGATGTGAGGAGATGAGAATTGCAGATCCATGTGGGCCACTGGTAGGGGTGGAAGGGGTCAGAGGGGAATGTGGTTGAGAGAGAGATTCACGGTGGTGGGGAGGGGAGGGAAAGAGTACATAGCTTTCCATTGCCAGACTGCTAAATAAATCATTTTTTAAAACGTCACTTAAATTGTACCCTTCTCCAAAAAGCTTATAATAATAATTATTCCATTTTTTCTTTTATTTGATGGGATTCACCATGGTTCCTCTGGAATGCAAGTTCTTTATTTGCAATAAGCCAATAAATGCAACTTACTGGATTATAGGTTTACATCTGTTGGTTTCGGCCGATTGGTTTAGCAGAGTGGTAAGCAAATTCCAAAGGCAACCTTATCCTTAAGGGAAATGCAGGCATCAGTGCCATTATCTGCTAAATAAGTTTTGGCCTCCATGAAGCTGGAAGTGGGTTCTTCCACTCGCACATTAATTCAGGGATCCGGGAATAAGGCTAAGGTGGACTCAAGTCAGTAGCGACCCTGGAACCTAACAGAAGCAAACTCAAGTCCTTAACAGAGGCCACTAAAATTTCAACAGATAAACATCAGTCAAAGATGAACTCACAATAAAGATTTTCAAACCTTCAAAGAAAAGGATCAACAGAAGTACAAGTCAGTAGAAACCAGAAACAACACATTTGGACCCCAGAAATGTCCGATTAAGCAATGATCAAATACAGAATATAAAAAGATCAGTGTTTCACATGTGTGCAGAAATAAAAGAATCATAAAAATGATATTCTCAATACTGAACAAAGAATATCAGGAAAAGAGACAAGTGGAACTTTTAGAAATAAAATGCAATAGTTGAAACAAAAACTGCATTTAGTAAAAACAAATGAATAGATAACAATGATACACCCTTGCACACCTATAGTAGGGCTAAAATTCAAAGACTGGCAATATGAAACATTCAAGAGAATATGAAAAAAGTGAAGTTTTTTAAGTGGTAAAATTACTTGGGAAAATTCTGGCTACTTCTTAAACATGGCACATTTCACCCACACTATCACCCAACAATTTTATCTTCAGAAACACAAGTTGTCCACAAGAAAGATCTTTGCAAAAAACGTTATACAGGAATGATCATAAGCCACTGTCTGGGAAGACGGCTTCCTATATCAGAGTGATAGTTATGTTAAGTCCCAGCTGCTCCACTCCTAGCCAGCTCCCTGCTAATGTGCCTGGGAAAACAGCCACTGAAATAGTCAGGGTACTTGGGCTCCTGCTACCCACATGGAAAACCCAGATGGAGGTTCCTGGTTTTCACCTGGCACAGCACTAACCAATACGACCCTCTGGGGAATGAACCAGCGCAGGAAAAGTTTTCTCTCTTACCTCTCTGTCGCTTTGCCTTTCGAACAAGTAAAAGAAATATTTACAAAAAAGAAAAGGAATGATCATACTAATTTTACCTACAACAGTTAAAAAGTAGAAGCAGTCATCAAGAGAAAGACTGAATGAGCAAGCGGTGATATAATGACACAACGTAATACTATTTAGCTGCAATGAGGAAGATGGAAAAAGAAATACTGACATACAATCTAAACCAGGTTCTGGACTCAGACTGCAGGTAATTCAGGAGAGATGAAATCTGAAGACACGATTTTTAGTTCTGTACTTATTTAAAAAGCTTGCATTGTAGACCATACCCTGAAGTTTGTCCATATCCCCACGAATCCTTTTGACACATGGCATGGTGCTTTCTAATCTGTGCCCAATCCATTACAATTTGAATCTCCTTTCCTCATTCTTGCACTGCTCACTCTGCTTTCCTATACTTTCTTTCTCTCTCTCTTTTAAAAAAAGGTTAATTTTATATTTATTGGAAATACAGATTTACAGAAAGGAGAGACAGAAAAATCTGTTCACCAGTTCACTCTCCAAGTGGCCACAATAATTGGAGCTAAGCTGATCTGAAGCCAGGAGCCAGGAGATTCTTCCAGGTCTCCCAAGCGGGTGCAGGGTCCCAAGGCTTTAGGCCATCTTCTACTGCTTTCCCAGGTCACAAGCAGGGAGCTGGATGGGAAGTGGAGTGGCTGGGACACAAACCAGCACCCATATGGGATCCTAGCGCAAGCAAGGCAAGGATTTAGCCACTGAGCCTTGGCGCTGGGGCCCATGCTGACTTTTTGCTCTCTAGAACAGTCTCCTCCGAAATATGCATGTGGCTTTTTTCACCTTTTCTTCAGGTATGAGCACAGGTTACATTCTCAATGATGCTGTTTCATTCATTCTATTTAATGAGAGAGACAGAAAGTTTTTCGATCTGCTGATTCATTCCTCAAATGACTATAACAGCTTGAGCTAAGTCTGGCCAGAGGCAAGAGGCAGGAACTCAACCCAGGTGTCCCATGTATGGCAGAGGGGGAGACAGAGGCCCTACTGTCTGAGCCATCACCTGCTTGTTCCTAGAGTCTGCAGTGTTCTGGTAGCTGCAGCCAGGATTCAAACTAAGGCACTAAATCCAGGAAGTGTGACATGAGATGCAGGGATCCCACCCAGCATCTTAACCTCTAGGCCAAACACTTATCTCATTCACCCTACTTAAAATCTCAGCGAACCTGCTGTGATCTGAGTGTCTGTGTTTCCCCCGCAATTCTTCTGAAATCTTATTAAGAGGAGAGCCTTGAGGGGATGATGAGGTCAGGAATGGGGAGCCTTCCTGAGAGGGATGAGTGCCCCTATGAAATGGGACCAAGGAACTTCATGCTGTGAGGACACAGTGAGAAACAGCCATCTGCGAACTTGGCTACTGGCCTTCACAGGTGCCAAGTTTGCTAATACTTGGCTCTCGGGCTTTATAGCCTCTAGAGCTGTGAGATAGAGACTTGGGCTGTTCAGAAGGTACTTAGACTCTGTGGTATTCTGTGTGTAGTGGACCAAATGGATGAAGACACTGCCTCATTCCCAAGCCCCATCTGTTCATCTCCATGGCATTTCTCACTGTCTGATGCACTGTGTAGTACTTGTTTAATAGTTCATTGTCTGCCTTCCACACTCCAGGAATGTAACTCCCATAAGGATTGGGATAACTATTGTCTTGTTTACCACTGAGTCTGCAGCATTCATACCAATGGTGCCTACCACAACAAATAAAGGCTGTCTGATGCAAAGAATCAGGAAATTGCTGTAGGAATAAATGCCCCCACTTACCTTCAGATTTTCTTTGTGGCCACTTCAGAAAACAAGGATCGACTTCTCGGGTTACAGACTTAGAGATGGTGGGTCCCAGGCAAGGGCTTGGCAGCAAAAAGCCCAACTTGACATGACAGAGCTCCTTGGAGCTCTCCTCTTTCTTGAGAAGCAGAGGTGGCGTGGTCTGCAAGTCTGTCCTGAGATTCACTGCGTTCATTTTACTTGGAAGAGAACCACATGGTGTTCCTGCCAGCTCCGGGTGCCCCAAGGCTCCCTGACTAAAGAAGTGGGGGAGGAGAAGACAGGACTCATTGGTCATATCAGATGGACACTCATTGGTCACGTCTTCCGGCTCTCCAGTTTCCCAACATCACAAAAAAAGTCTGAAGAACTGCAGTGGCTGTGCTCTCAAAGGACAAGCCTTCTCCACGCTGACTCCATCCCAACCTCCTCCTTCCATGCCCAGTACAATCTGCCACCTCAGTTACGAGTCAGCCCTCTTTGGTTTTTCCAGTCCCATTTCCCAGAGCCAAGGAATTGGCAGGGTATCATATTTTATTTCCAAAGCCATTGATTAATCCGGTATTGCTCAAGCTACCTTTGAAGGACCAATTTTTAAATGTTCCAGTCCCTTGTGGACTGACACTTTTGTATGATTTGATAAAAGTAGATTCATATAAAAATGACAGGGAAAAACCCTGCAGAATATAAGCCCCAATTTTTTCATTATTTACCATTGAATATGCAGTGATGTTGTCCAGCACTTTAATAATATTTATTTTATTAGAAAAACAAAGATAGAGAAAGCTCCCTTTTGCTGACTCATTAAATCTCTGGGGCTGGACCAGGCCAAAGTTTCTGGAACTCAACCCAGGTCTTTCACATGAGAAGCAGAGAACTAACTACTTGTGCCATCACTTGCCACCTCAGAGGGTGCCTACCAGGAGGAATTCAGACTTCAGAGAGGAGCTGGGACTTGAACTCACATGTATAGGATGCAAGCATCTCAAGGGGTATCTTTGCTGTCATGCCAAATCCCTACACCTCTCTCCCATATAACCTTTTAGATGCTTCTCTTCATGTTCTGTACTGACGTGTCTCCATGAACTGACAACAGGAGCAGGGACCCACATTTTGGATAACATCGTTAGAATAGGATCAACAAACTATGCCCATGGGCCAAAGCTCTCTTCTGGCTTATTTTTGAAACTTGAGTTGGATCACAGCCAACTGTAATCCAATATTGTTTACAGATTTTCTATGGCTGCCTTTAGGTGATAATTACAGAGTGGCATCATTGCAACAGAGGGCATATGATCAACAATATAAGTGCATATTTCGTATCTTGCCCCTTTCACAAAATATCTATTGTGAGCCTTATTTTAGAGTTCAGATTGAATTACTAAAATTGTAGGTCACCATATCATCCCTTCATGGTTAAAGGCCAATCTAGTGATTCAAAGAATACTCCTTACCTGTTTGCTTTGAAATCTTCTGGGCTCATGTCTTGGGAATGATTGGCATTTCTTGGAAAAGTCACAAGTATCTCAATACCTGTAGAAAAACATAACAGTAACAGGAGAAAGAAAGAAGTGGTAGATCCTAGTGGTGTGCAGAAGTTCCCAAAGACACTAACTGGTGTCCATATGGGAAGCTGGCACATGCAGACGGTGGATTAGCTTGCCATAACACGACACTGGCCCCGGGCCCGGCGGCATGGCCTAGCAGCTAAACTCCTCGCCTTGAACGCACCAGGATCCCATATGGGCGCCGGTTCCAGTCCCAGCAGCTCCACTTCTCCCATCCAGCTCCTTGCTTGTGGCCTGGGAAAGCAGTCGAGGACGCCCAAGGCTTTGAGACCCTGCACCCATGTGGGAGACCCAGAGGAAGTTCCTGGATCCTGGCTTCAGATCGGCATAGCATCGGCCGTTGCACTCACTTGGGGAGTGAATCATTGGGCGGAAGATCTTTCTCTCTGTCTCTCCTCCTCTCTGTATATCTGACTTTCCAATAAATAAATAAATCTTAAAAGAAAAAAGAAAAAACAAAAAACACTACACTGGCCCCAACAAGGCCTCTTTCTATATACAGTGAGTGGTGACATCTGCCTCCCAGAACTGGCGTGATGAGTAAATAGGATAACTGATGTAACCCTAAAGGAACTTGCTTATATTTATAATTTTGCTCATCTCTTGCCAGGCTGCATGTCATCATTTCCTTTACAGCCTGTAAAATATAAAGTTCCAACTCGTAGAATTGATGTTTTCTTAAATTTAGCATGTAAAACAAACTGATGCAAGAAAATGAACATGAGTCAGTCTAAAAGTTGCCTGTAATGTAAGACTCATTCCTTCAGTTTTTCCTGATCATCAAACTTTAGTGAAATATATGCCAAGTCCAGAACTTGGTGCTGAAGGCATAAATGACTAGGAGAAACAAACAAGCCAAGAATGCAGCAAGGTGAGCACTGAGACGGGGGATGCAAGTGGTGCAGTGGGAGCACAGCACATCCTTCTAGGAGAACGTGATGCTTGTCCCAGGACCCATTCTTGTCCTTTGATGTGTCACATTTACTCACTCTGCATGTATCCAAAGCTGCAGTACTGTTTCTCATAGGGTCTGCTGAGTAAATGCCAGGGGAAAATTACATGAAATTGCAAATTACAAAAAGTGTACCATAGAAAAATGGGTTTAAAAATTGTTTGCACCACAATAAATGTATCCTTTGATTCCATTTTTCATGAACTTTTTTGAGGTAGCTCTGTATAGGGGCAGGATAAGGATAGGACATAAATCAGAAAGATCTGGTTTACATTGCCCCCTCTGCCACTTCCTGGGTGCCCTTGGGAAAATTACTTAATAGTTATTGTCATCATCATTAGTTCCATTAATTTCCATTCTTTTTAAAGGACTTAAGCTATCCTGTCAAATACACAGAAACCATCAAAGCAAGAGCATTTTAATTATTCCATTTTTTTTGGTACCTGTGCCACTTAATGAGATCAGTGCATTGAAAAACATTAAGCATTTGTAAGAGGATAGATTGTACTTACAATCTAGCAAATGAGAATAGTATTTACTGACTTTGTCATTCAACAGTATAATTTGAGCTATGAAAATACATCCAGCTTGCCCTTTCTTCATATTTCTCAGGACAATTTGTTGTGCCTTTCTAATACAACAGCAAGGAATGCTCCTTTAAAAATGATGTTTCCTTGGACTGGTTCATTGTTGTCTAACTCCAAAGATTCTGTCACCATTCCTATTAGAGTGAAATGAGAGGGCTGAAATTAAACAGCTGGAAAGAATGGAAGGAATCACTCCCCAAGCCCTTCATTTCATAGACAAAGAACTGAAGGGCAGAAGTATGGATGACATGTTCAAGGTCACTATTCTGCTAGCAAGGAAAATAGACGTCTTTCCAAGCATTTTTTGCAGTCGTACTTGAGTGTAAAAACTCAACCACGGTGTTAGAGAAAAACACAGCCTACAATCTTGATAACTGTCAGTGAAAGCAGGTGTACTGGCACAAAGGCTGGATGCACTTAGGATGAGGTACTTCAGAACATCCAAGGAAAAATGCAGCCAGACAAAAAAATTAGAAACTGGCATTATGGCATTATGGCATAGCAAAGTAAACTACTGCCTGCTATGTTGACATCCCATTTGAGCACTGGGTTTGACTCCCATTTGCTTCACTGCCAACCCAGCTCCCTGCTAATACATTTGGGAAAGCAGAAAATGATAACCTAGTACATGAGACTCTCCAACTGTGTGAGAGACGTGGATGGAGTTTGTGGCTCCTGGCTTTGGTCTAACCCAGTCCTGGCTGTTGTGCCATTTGGGAAAAAAACCAAGGGTTAGAACTCTCTCTGTGTGTCTGTCTCTGTGTGTCTGTCTCTCTGTCTCTCTCTCTCTCTCCAAAACTATCTTTCAAATACATACTTTTTTTAAAAAAGTAAGTTTCTGTTGGTGCAAGAAAGTTCAAAGTCAGGGCCAGCATTGTACTGGGCAAAACCATTGCTTGGTGAGTCAGTTCCAATCCCAGCTACTATTCTGCTTCTAATTCAATTGCCTGCTAATGTACCTGGGAAGGCAGGAGATGATGGCTCAAATCCTTAGGCCCCTGCCATCCATATGGGACCCCAGAGGGAGTTTCTGACTCCTGGCTTTGGCCTGGCTTTTTGGTACAAGAATTAGTGAAGGGAATATTTCTCTCTTTTTCTCTCACCCTCTCCCTTTTTCCTTCTTGTTGTTATGCCTCAAATAAATAAACAAATATGAAAAAAGTTCAAAAGCAAGTATAGATGTTTCCAAATCCCTATTCTTTATGAACATTTTGGGGGAATTCTCACAAACATGGATTTCGGAATTTCTCTGCACCAAAATTAACTTCTTTTAAATTTTCATGAATTTGGGAGGGGGTTGTACTTTACTATGGAAACCAGAAAAATGAGTAGAATACATTCACATGAGCACATATCTAAGAATTCCTAGACTTTTTTTCTTTTTAAAAAGATTTATTTCTTTTAATTGGAAAGGCAGATCTGATTTACAGAGAGGAGAGACAAAAATTTTCCATATGCTGGTTCACTCTCCAAATGGCCACAATGGCTAGAGCTCAGCTAATCTGAAGCCAGGAGCTAAGAGATTCTAGGTCTCTCACATGGGTACAGAGTCCCAAGGCTTTGGATCATCTCTACTGCTTCCCCAAGCCAAAAGCAGGGAGCTAGACAGGAAGTAGAGCAGCTGGGATTAGAACCGGTGCCCATATGTAATCCCTGCGCTTGCAAGATCACACCAGGCCCTAGACTTCTACAATTAGAGAGAATAAATGAACTCAGAATATGTTCAAGCAAATGTCATTTATCAAAAATTTGCGTATTGTTATCTTTTTCTAAAGCAAGGAAGAAAGATACAATAAGTGGGTAGAAGAAATATTTGCCTGTTCAGAAAATATTAAGACCTAATAGCACCCAGTGCAATAGTGCTTGCCTTGCCAGGATCCCATATGGGTTCATGTCCCTGCTGCTCCACTTCCCATCCAGCTTCCTGCTTGTGGCCTGGGAAAGCAGTAGAGAATGACTCAAAGCCTTGGGACCTTGCACCTGTGTAAGAGACCTAGAAGAAGCTACTGGCTTTGGATCAGCTCAGCTCTGGCCATTGCAGTCACTTGCAGAGTGAACTAGTGGATAGAAGATCTTTCTATCACCTTCTCTCCATAAATCTGCCTTTCCAATAAAAATAAATAAATCTTTTTAAAAAATAACTAATACCTGCCACCTCAGTCTTGATTCTATGTGGAAAAAGAAATCACAGAATACACTGACTATGACATCAACTAACAACATACATTTTTGTTACTTTATTCTGTCTGTTGAATAAGGTGCATGACTAAAAAGCTGTGAACCGCATCTCTGAATTTAACCAGTGGGCCAGAAAAGATCGTGTATTGTCACAATCAAAAATAAAACCTTCCCACACTTTATCCTGGCTCGTTCATCACCTAAGGAGGTGTAAATTAACCTCATAAAAAAGTATTATCTGAGAGAGAAATTTAAAAGCAACATTTCCCTGTAGCAAGAAACATATTTTCTTCACCAAAGAGGTGAAAATGACATTCAAAAAAGTCAGCAAGTGATCATTAACTTGTTGTTTGTGTTGAAGCCATTATTTAAGTGGAAACTTTCAATCCGCCCCAGTTGAACTCACTCAATGAAGAAAATTATTTTCTCCAGAAAAATGTTACTTTCTTATCTGTTCTGCTTGTTCTTTTTAAATATATTTTTATTTTGAATTTTGAATTATGTGGTATCTACTTGTTCTTTTTAAAGTAATGTGCTTTAAAAAAAAAGGAATGTGCTTTTCTGACTGGGTTGTGAGCATCAGTATTCAAAATGTTTTGATATCCTGCATGTTTTGATAACTCCCTAAATTGTGACTATCAACACAAGACGTTTTTTGCTTTCAAGGTTTATTTATTTGTTATTAGAAAGGCAGATTTACAGAGAGAAGAAGGAAAGATCTTCTATTGACTGGTTCACTTCCCATATTGCTGCAACAGCTGGAGCTGAGTTGAGCGGATCTAAAGCCACGAGACTCTTCAGGGTCTCCAGGTGCAGGGTCCCAAGGCTTTGGTCAGGGTTCCAAGATTTTGGGCTGTCCTGGATTGCTTTCTCAGGCCACAAGAAGGGAGCTGGATGGGAAGTGGAGCAGCCAGGATACAAACCAGTGCCCATATAGGATCCCAGTTGCTTGGGGGGGGGGGGGAGTAACCAATCATGCCATTACACTGGGCCCTCAATACAGGCTTCTGGAAAAAAAAAAAGAGGAAGAAGAAGGAAGGAAGGAAGGAAGATGGACAAGAGAAACAGGAAAAGAAAGAAAGAGAGAACGAAACAAAGAAAGAAAGAGAAAGAAAACGAACCTTTAGGGGCAGACATACATCATTGTCTATGGATGGAGAGGGAAGGGGGTGATTGGGAGGTGTTCTGTGGTGATAGAAATGCTTTGTATTGGCAGTTGGTTTGTCATATATAGTATTCATTATTTTG